ATAGATAGATAGATAGATAGATAGATAGATAGATAGATAGATAGATAGATAGATAGATAGATAGATAGATAGATAGATAGATAGATAGATAGATAGATAGATAGATTTCAGCTTTAAATGGAAGAAATTAAGTTGAGTTTTCACTTTTGGCTCCATGTTTTCAAACTTAACACTGGGATCCCAGAAGGGCCAAAGTGGAAAACCGCAACATGTGCAGCTTCCTATCTTCCTGGATGTAACGGATGTACGCATATGCAAAGAGAGGAGGAGTAAACATTGTACTCGAATTGAAATTCTTATTATTTATTATTATCATTATCATTGCAATACCTTTTCACTAGTCCCTTTGTTGTTGTACATCAAAATAAATTTGAGGTTGTTTTTGTTTTTTTGGGATTATGGCATAAAACACTGAATAACAAACATGGTAGCCTTTAACCTCATCACCTTAAGGTGACACACTAGATTAATTTTAATTTTCAAAGTTTTTCTCCATCTCTACAGCCACAAAGACTAAAGCAGCAAAAATGGATAGGAGAGATGCACTAACACAAAACAAATCATCCAACCATCCATTATCCATCCATCCATCCATTATCGTTACTGCTCATTTCCTAATGAGGTTGCAGGGGGGGAACTGGAGCCTATCCCAGTGGTCAATCGGCGAGAGGTGGGGTACACCCTGGATTGTCCGACAGTCCATTGCAGGGCTACACAGAGACACGCAAGGACCAACAACCACTCACACTCACTCCTAAGGGCAATGTGGAACGTCCAATCAACCTAACATGCAGGTTTTTAGGCAGTGGGAGGAACCCGGAGAGAACCCACGCAGACACAGGGAGAACATGCAGACTCCACACAGAAAGGTCCTGGGTCCCCAGAACCATCTTGCTGTGACCACCGTGCCACCCAGACTAAGGTGCATCTCACGCATTTTAATGAATGATCAAAACCCGTAAGCCATCACTTTAAACCCATGTGAGCAAACCAGATATTCACATCTTCGTGTTCCAAACCTTAAAATTTCTCCTTTTCATATGAAGCACTATATACTTTTAGTTTTATAATTTATTTCTCTAACAAATAGATCACCAACTCATTTGCATTATTAAGTAACATGTTTAAATCATATTTGCAACCTTCATTGCACTATTGCATATATTTTCAGCTTGTTTATGGATAAAACCTCTATATTGGTAAGGAATGTGTCACTGAACAGCTCAACAAAGCAAGGCAGAAACCAGAAAAAAAAACTACAGAAAAAACTTAACTGAAATTAAGAACTTGAATTCAATGAATTTGGAAAATCCTAATATTCGTTTTTGGGAAATACTTACCTACAACAAGGCCACATTCAGGACAAATCATGTCCCCTGCTCTGTAGTCCTCCACTAGTATGGCATCGGGATGGTTGGGACACTGAACCCTGGGCAGAGCCAGAGCTTCTCCGCTGTACAAGCAAACAACAAGACGGTCAAATAACTCGAACACGGAGGGGTCAGGGATTACAAAATAAAGAATGAGGAGAGGCTTGCAAATAACTCATGTCAAGACACAAATCTCCATCGACACGGATTTGAAAATAAATTAATAAAAATCAAGAATTCCAGTACCCACCAGTGAGAGACAGCAAAAGAAAGTCAACCCTGAGTCTGTTTGAGATGTAAATGTTCTATACCGACAGAATGCATTTTGCACCGCCATTCTTCTGCTGTTGTTGACATAGATAACATTTTAAAAGATCAATGCTCTGCTGCTTACAAAATGTTGTAATTGGTTTTAGTTAAAAAATAAAAACCAATGTCTTTTGCGGGATGTTGTACTCATTACAATACAGGAGCAGACTAAGAGTGTAATCAATCCCAATTTCCAATGAGAGCCTGGATTAGAAGTTAGAGATTCTCCATGCTCTGCGCACAGCAAAACACAAAGTCGATGACGTAGTCTACTAAAAATTATTAAAAGCGCTGAACAACGCAGCATAAATGTCCAAACTTGCTGAACTTTACAGATGTCAAGATTTATCCAGATCTGCTCGTCGACCACAACTGCTAGCAGAACAAAAAGTGAAATCAACAATATAGCTTGTTCCGTCATAGTAGCTTTACTACATAGTTACACGGCGAAGTGGTAAACAAAGTCGACATTAGTCAACAACGCCCGGCAAATAAGAAAGGTATCAGCATAGATAACTGGGTATTTTCACAACAACGATATAGAACACAGCAGTGACACAAACAGTGACTTCTGGCAGCATCTACCGTTGACCTGTTTGCTAGCTTACTAGCTGTCAAGAAGCACAATGGACCCAGGAAATAACGGTATAATAAGAGCACGGAAATAGTTAACACCAGCTCGGTATAACCGTTTCGTAAAAATAGCTACATATACTCGCCACTATTTGGCAGTCTGAGTTAATCTTTTTATAAAAACGTAGTTGTTTGTGAGTAATCAAAGTTGCTACACACCGGCTTGTCGACGCCATGCCACTCGTCGCTCTTCCCCTCAATCAAAGAAACAAACGAAGACGGTACCTCTATTTATAACCTCTTTTGATCACGTGTCAACTATACTACGGAACGTCAAAGAGTCCATAAAGTTTACAATTTGCCGTCTGTCCTACTACAAACAAACAGATCTATGTTTATATATTTAACTGCTTTAACGCAAAAATAATTACTTGATTCATTTAAACAGAATAAGAAAGTTACAATTATCTTTTTATATATCGAATTACTTGTACGAAACATTGGACCAATGTGTGAAATGCAAATAAAAGCAAACACCAGAAATGATTCCAAATTGCCAAAACAAAGGAACAATTTTTATGTAATAGTTTATCTCGTTGATTAAACACAAAATCAGGAAGCAGTGTATCAATTCCCTGCATTTCAGGCGAACGAAAAGTTGTGACTTGCAATTCGGTATAGAGGTTGGGTTAAAAGATACTCACGTTATTTCAAACAGGTGATGTCAACAGGTGATTGTAATTATGATAACCATGGTAACAATGAACGACTTTTCCTTTGGGTTGCAAAAACGATTAAATTCCCCACATTACCAAACTTAGTGTTTTAAGGCCTGAAATAAAAAAAATAAAAAAAGACCAAATTAAATCGAGCTAATAAAATACATAAAACAATCAAACAGAATATACATTACTTTTTAACTTGATAGTTGATATAAATGCATGTATTTACAATTTTTTTAATCAAATGAATGGAATACTTCAAGCAATACAGTGTATTGTGCTTTAATACAACAGCAGGTGGAGCTAAACAAAAGCAAGATACCTGGTGTAGAAAAGGTTTTATTTGTTGAGCGATGAAAACTATTGTTCCAGGAAAATTACATTTTATTGGTTTTCATGGAAAGATTTATTTACCAAAAATCTCTCAGCCAATTTTTTAATGTTTTACAATCTCCATCCCTGAGATCAGATCTGCTAGAATAGTAACATACTATGTATTGCCTGAGAAAGTATAATCACAATTTCATCATCGAAGCTGAAGAAGTTTACTAGAAATGTTTGCATGAAGTAAGTTCTTTGTTCTTCTTTTTGGCTTAAAATGTGTGGGTGGGGGTATGAATAATTTGCCAATTTGACTCTACCCGGATAACCCCCAACCTGTTTTTATTTATTTTTTAAAAGAAAGGATTATCTCACCTCATTTCATATTATGGGTTTTAACAGTCATTACTGTTATACTTCCTGCCACACTGCATGTAGAGACACGAGTTCTTCATTTACTCAGCAAACAGGAAATTACCAGCCATAGAAACAGATTTTTTTGGGGTCTTTTGTAGGTTTGTGGTTTGAAGGCGGTTTGAAGGCGGTGTAGTTTCAACACACATCTGCTGTGCAATTTAAGCGATTGTTTTTTTTTCTGTTTTCTGTTTTTCACAACTTTCTGGCTAATTTATGCCTTTGCTGGGAGATTCCCATCTCACTGAGCATGGTTACCGGGAGAATCTGGGCTTGTCAGCTGATGATCTCCAACAGCAAAGCCAGGGAGGAAACCCCATACTGTTCAACCACTGCTTTCAAAACACGTTGTCCACCTCATCCCCACACTAACCATATGTCTCACCACATCAAATCATTAGTTCAAAACAATGAGCAGTGTAACCCAGGCAATAGTCATGTGCCAAATTGGTTTAATAAACATAGTAAACAAGGTTTTGTAGAGAGAGAAAGGCTGCATTGAATTTTGATATGTTACATCTAAAGTCAGAAATATTTGTGTTACCTAAAATTCCCCTAAACTAATCTGTTTAGCTATATTAGGATGATTGCATATACAGCTAAAAAAAAAGTATGAACATAGGCAACATAAGGCCACAGACAAAAGTAACAGAATGGAAATAAAATCGTATGGATCAGTATATTATTGGTCTAGACAGCTCAGAATCAAACACTAGTTGTTGTGGGAGAGATCTAGAGAGCAGAAAGTACTTTTTATGTTTGAGCTCTACATACATTTATCTGTAAAGGATATGACGTTCGGTCATGAGTAAACATGCAGCTCAACTGCAGAAGCTGGATATTTCGAAACAACAAAAATTGATTGACAAAATAAATTAATAAACAATTTTCATGCAGTTCAAGGTTATGTACCACCTCCACGTATCACCTTACATCACAAAACGGACTCCTCTACTGTTCTTTCTTTGTCTTCTTCGTTTTTACTATAGGCAGGGGTGGCAGCAACAAGCAGCCCAGGACCGGTTGAAACCTGTATGGATTGAAACTGAGAAGACACCTCCTCCACCCAGTGCATCATCAACCAAATCCAGACAAAGCTGGAGTTTATGTGCGAGTTCAGCTTCAATCACGCAGAGGGAACGACAGTCAACAAGACAGAAGCGTTAATAAATCAGCTGATATTTCAGGCGAGCCTCAACAGCGGAGAAAGCCAGTGCTGCGTTCATAATCAATTGGAAAGATTATACACTGGGCACAAAAGTTGCCCTCCCTTTTATATTCACTTTAGGTTTTATACCCCAATTATTTCCCTTAATGAATAGTTGATGGCTGTAGATTGTAATGAGTACTGAGCAAGCTTTAAAATGGGTCGTACCCGATGAAATAGTAAAATAGGCTAACGACATAACACATGAGCATAAGGTACCAAGATTGGTGTGCATGTTGTGGCTATCTTTATAACCCCAGAGTTCCATCTGTCCTTGTTACATCCGTAGATTCATTTGTGTAATCACCCGGTTGTTTAACAAAAAATTATCTAAATGGAATTTCATCATTAAAAATGTCTCCTGTTGAATTGTGGCATTTGCTTTGTAATAAATAAATAATAGGAAAAGTGCTAACATTGCTGGTATATCACGGAAATAAATGGATTGTATTTGAGATTTTGCACATAATTCAGATTAAAAATACATAGCTGAATACAGATTTTCAATATCACGAAAACATTTGATATGAAGGGGTTGTATTAGTTTTTGGACAGCCTTTAAATATGTCGTCTTCCCATGTCAGCTTCGTCCCGTACACCCTGAACGCAGCATCGCACAAACCGGTAGGCGGTATCTATGGGAAGTTGCTGTAACATCTTTGTCCAATGAGAAGCCCCCAAAACACCCACAACAGAGGTCTGCGCCGCTCCATATTGGAACTGTCTTTTCTTAGAATTACGTTGCTTCGAAGGGCCACCTGTACAAACTGCCTAACACACGGGAGGGCATTCGACTTCAGTCCTCGTGTTCAGGTATGAGGGCTGCAAGCCGACACATTGTACCGCCACAAACCGGAGTCGTTCTCCAGAGCTTTGCTTCACAGTGCGGCGTCATTCCCACAGTTTTTAATGGTTCTGAGAAATCAGGTTAAACACGCACATGAGGATCGGACACCGGCATGCAAGGTGAAGAGGAAATAATTGGACTGTGTTAGTGTCATATAGCCAGTAAGTACATTTTTCTTTACTACATTGTTTTTATTTCGCTAGTGGAAATGTACATGAAGCATATCAATTACAAATAACTTGACAGATAATTGCCCTCATACTTGACCAAGTAGATAATTTCCAGAAGCTGTGTAACGGGTATGAATAAATAAAGCTGGGACACATGGTGATTCTCCAATTTCTTGTCTCAACAAGTCACCTGACTCGAAAGCAGAGAGAGGGGAGAGAGAAATAACATCGCGTGAGCAAAAAATAACCCGTTTAATGGGCTAACAACGAAAATGTCTAACTTCCTTTTATTTCATTTTGTGTTACACAGGCGTAATGTTAATTCAAAATTATTCCCTCTAATTGTTGAGCTTTATTGAACCCTCAGACAAGAGTTTTTTTAACCTAATATTCTAACTGCAAACCTTCTGGTAGCCATCTTAGAACTTTGAATTTATCTTATTGAACTTGACGTACGGTGCAGCGGCTGTTGTCACGTGGGAACTTAGTTTCACAAATTCAGCCTGAACGCACCATGTTCCTCCACGGGTCTGACGAAGAACACACAACAATCTCACCAAGACAGGCAGCCATATGTGAAAGGAGGGTGCTTAATTACATGGAGCTGCTGGCAACTCTGTCTTAAATGGAGATCATAAACTTGCACATTGAAGTTTAAAGAAATCCGCCTGAAAATAACTTTAATACCTTAATATAAAAATGTTAATTACTTTACAGTTTGTCAAGATTAAAGGCATAGGGATTTAACTGGAGGAATGGCTACAGCTCATAGTAAATTACTTTACAGTCGATTTACAGACCTGAAAACATGTGGAGTGGGAAAGAAAATTCCGACCAGCCTGATACTCTAATCCAATTTCTCAGCTTCTTAAAGGCAGCATGCTTCAACCTGTCAGGGTATGAAAAGCACAGGTGTAACAAATACCATTAATGGATCTATTCAGGCTTCAGACATTGAGTCAGCACCCTGACACAGGGCAAAGTTTAGGGACAAAGGCCAGTTTTCTTTGTTTGAAGCACATGCACGGAAGAAGCCGTTGTCTTAGATAGCATTTTCCTACTGTAATTGATATTTAACATGCTGCCCAGCATGTTTAGGCTCTTTGCTTGACTGATAGCTGCTGGTTGTCAAGTGGAAAAATAAAAGAACGCTACTATTTTACACACACGTTACCAGATATGTTTTTACCACGTGGAAATGCTGTGAGGGTGCATTCCTTTTTTATTATGCTCTATGATAAAGTGAAACATGTCCCAGGGCTTATGGCTACGAAATTTATAAAATGTGCCAAAGGACTCTAGTTTGAAATGTATAGTTTGGTCAGCGTGAATCAGACTAGATGAAACGAGAGGACATTCAAACAAAGCAGAAAGTACCACATCTACCCAACAAGAATCCGTTTGAAGTAATTCAGTAAATTAAACACATGTGCTAAGCATTTGGTGAGTTAGGGGAGCTGGAAGACTTGGGGCAAGTCGGTACTCCGCAGTGTTTAAATGCATTTTTTTCGATTTCAGTACGTCATTTAGACACCGTAAGCAATAACTGAATAAACAAGTAACAGGAAGTGAGAGTTTAATGTAGCACACCATAGGAAATGTAGACAACTGTGCTGTGTGGTGCCTTCAGTCACACATTTACAGCTTGTTAAGCTGAGGACTCCTGCCGCTTTAGCAGATTCTAGTCTGGCTCTCCACTTATGTAACGTGTAGTGGTTTTGATCCAGAGAAGTTTTAACTTCCTGGTCTTCTAAGCTTGCTCGAAATAAAACCCATTTGAATGCTATTTTTATAGCTTCCTTTTTTATTGTCGCCTTTAACATTACTCATCATAGCAACGGGGTGACTTATTTTTTAGCTGCCACATTTCGGACTTCATCTATTAACCTGACTTTTGTAGTCATGCAAAAAGTGTCCCACTTTTTGGGAAGTTTTTTGGTTGTTTAGAGAAATTAAAAAATGACCTTATAGACCCTCGTTTTTTACTTTTTCTTGTATTAAAATAAAACAGAATTTCTTTCCAAAATAAATGTCCAAGAACATTTTAAAATTTGAGCCATACCTGGAGAAATGTGTTATGCTGACTGCTTAATTTATACTTTGAATTTAAATGTTAAAGATAAAAGAGGAAAACATTTTGCCTTCTCTGAATAGGATTAATCACCTCCCCTCTGTTTGTTGCAGTGATGTTCACTCTCACTGAGGTTGCATCCTTGAACGACATCCAGCCGACATACCGCATCTTGAAGCCATGGTGGGATGTGTTTATGGACTACCTGGGGTTGGTCATGCTGATGCTGGCCATATTTGCAATGACCATGCAGATCACCAAGGACCACGTGGCCTGCCTACCATGTCTGGAAGATGCAGACGAGCCCCCTGGAGCTAAATCCAACCCGCTATACATGACCTCGACAGCTGCCACTGAAGCCCCTGCTTCATCCACCACCCCATCGGTCAATAAGGAGCCCCATAAAGTCAGCACAGCGCAACAACACACTGCTGTTACAAACAAATTTACCAATCAACCTCAGCCCACGGGCGTCAAAACCAACCTGGACTTTCAACAATATGTCTTTATCAACCAAATGTGTTACCATGTTGCCTTGCCCTGGTATTCCAAGTACTTCCCATACCTCACGCTCATCCACACCATTGTCCTTATGGTCAGCAGCAATTTCTGGTTTAAATACCCCAAAACAAGTTCAAAGATTGAGCACTTTGTCTCTATCCTGGGGAGATGTTTTGAGTCTCCTTGGACAACAAAGGCTTTATCTGAGACGGCTTGTGAGGACTCAGAGGAGAACAAACAGAGGTTGACGGGCACCTCAACAGCACTACACCAAGTGTCTTTAGAGGGAAAGGATGATGGCACAAACGCCAACCAGTCCACACCTATGCTTGGTGTAAAGTTTTCTGCAGACAAGCCCATCGCAGAAGTACCAAGCAGCATGACAATCCTGGATAAGAAGGATGGGGAGCAGGCCAAAGCCCTGTTTGAGAAGGTGCGAAAATTCCGAGCCCACGTGGAGGACAGTGATTTTATTTATAAGCTCTATGTTGCACAGACGTCTGTCAAAACCGTCAAGTTCATTTTGATATTGTCATACACGTCAACGTTTTTGGCAGAGATAAATTTCACGCACGATTGTAAGCCTAATATTAAACAGCTAACGGGCTATAACAAGTTCTTCTGTACGCACAACATGGCTTACATGCTCAATAAGCTACTTATCACCTATATGGCATTGATTTTGATATATGGGATAACCTGTCTGTACTCTCTGTTCTGGGTGTTTCGACGACCTCTGAAAGAGTACTCATTCGAGAAGGTGCGTGAAGAGAGCAGCTTTAGTGACATTCCAGATGTCAAAAACGATTTTGCATTCCTCTTACACATGGTTGACCAATATGACCAACTTTACTCCAAGCGCTTTGGTGTTTTTTTGTCCGAGGTCAGTGAGAACAAGCTGAGGGAGATCAGCCTAAACCACGAGTGGACCTTTGAGAAACTGAGGCAGCTCGTCAGTCGCAACGCGCAAGACCAGCAGGAGTTGCACCTTTTCATGCTTTCCGGACTCCCGAATGCCGTGTTTGACCTCACAGACCTGGAAGTCCTGAAACTGGAGCTGATTCCTGAGGTGAGGTTTTCGGCAAAGGTCTCCCAAATGACAAGCCTGCAAGAGCTGCATCTTTGCCACTGTCCTGCCAAAGTGGAGCAGACGGCCTTTGCCTTTCTTCGGGACCATCTCCGCTGTCTTCATGTCAAGTTCACAGACGTGGCAGAGATTCCTCCCTGGGTTTACCTGTTGAGGAGTCTGAGGGAGCTTAACTTGATTGGCAACTTGAGCTCAGAAAACAACAAAATGATTGGTCTAGAGTCCATGCGGGACCTGAAGCACTTAAAGACCTTGTGCCTGAAGAGCAACCTCACAAAGATGCCCACAAACATCACAGAGCTCTCGCCGCATTTGATCCGATTGATTGTGCACAACGATGGCACAAAACTTCTGGTACTGAACAGTCTGAAAAAAATGACCAACCTAATTGAACTGGAACTGTACAGCTGCGAACTGGAGAGGATCCCACATGCTATTTTCAGCTTGACCAACTTGCAAGAGCTTGACTTGAAGTCTAACAACATCAGGACCATCGAGGAGATCATCAGCTTCCAGCACCTCAAGAGGCTGACTTGCCTGAAGCTGTGGCACAACAAAATAATCACCATCCCATCATCCATTGCCCAGGTCAAGTCACTGGAGTTTCTCCACCTCTCTCACAACAAACTGGAATCCCTGCCTCCGGCCTTGTTCAATCTCCCCAAACTGCGACACTTGGATGTGAGCCATAACTCCATCACGGTGCTTCCACCCGACGTGGGCCTCCTCCACAACCTGCAGCACTTAGCCATCAACTCAAACAAGCTGGAAGCACTGCCCAAGCCTCTGTTCCGAAACACCAAGCTGAAGGTACTGTGCGTGGGGCACAACGCGCTCACCACGCTGCCCGAAACCGTGGGCCAGCTGGTCCAGCTCACCCAGCTGGAGCTCAGAGGAAACTGCCTGGACCGACTGCCTGCCCAGTTAGGAAACTGCCGCATGCTGCGCAAAAACGGCCTCATTGTGGAGGACCATCTTTTTGACACGCTGCCTGTGGAAGTTAAGGAGAGCATCAGCCGAGAAACAAGCGTGTCCTTTACAAGTGGCTTATAGCACAACCAAACTGGCAGTGATCAAAGAGACTTTACTCGTGTGTTTTCCATAAAAATGAATTCATTTATCTGATTATTATTTTTAATGTCAACCTAGTTGCTTACATTTTAATATAGCTTAAAAGATTACTTTGTTATTGTTGTACATGACTCCCTTTTGGCTTTCAATTTTTTCTTGTTTTAGCTTTTAGCTATTTGGTTAAAAAAAAAAGAGGAAAAAAAGAAAGTTTTGTCCTATGTTTTTCTCTTTAGACCAAAATGACACCACTGACGCATTGTGTAAATGTGTCCTTATGTAGTAGGTACTCAGGTATTAATGTAACCATAGGGAAAAATCTTTTTGCCTTAGACGCTGCTATGCATGTTTTTGTTTTTTGTTTTTACGCTAATAATTTTCGCAAACAAGGCCAAAAATGAATGATCTGTGATTTTCCTGGTATATCGAGAGGAACAAACCCCTGGAAGAAATTTCTCATTTTTATGGAAGCAAATGCAAGGAGACACCCCACCCCTTTTTTTCTGTGTAGTTTTTCACTCTGCTTAACTTGTATGTTCCTCATGCATAATCTTGTAGCTAACATAATTAATTAAGAGTTGTAAAACTCAGGTGGACACCAAGCACCAGAAATTAAACTTTACCTTATTGTTATGGAGATTATATACTAAACTTGTATCCTACCATTTTTACCATTGCAAATGTACATGAAAACCTAATAATGTAAAAACTGAATGTCTTTAATTTCTAACCTTTCCTGAGACCAATGTAAGCTGATAAAAGGGAAATCTGTTGGGTAGCTTTTAAATCATGTTTTAAAAACTGATTATCTTTGAATTGGATCACTAGTTGGACTAATTGTCCTGCGTGCACAATCACCAAATGATGATAATATTTGCCTTCATTCTTTCAGTGTACCACTGTGTAGGCCTGCATATAAGTGTTCTTCACAGCTGATGTACCGCCTGGGTGATTCCATGCTCAAAGTTCACCATTTTATGGGACAATAAACCAGACCTCTAGATGCCTGTCTAATCATTATTCATGACCTTAGGTTGTTCTGTTAAGAGAATGCTGCTGCCACTTGGGATTTTTTAAGACGGATGCATTTTTAGGGATTTTAAAGAAGACTTGCAATGCAATTTTAGTGAAAAAACTTTCATAGATATTAAAACTTTATCATTTTTAGCATCACTTCAGATTTAAACACATTTCTTAACCATTTTATAACGCTATTTGAGGCAGACCTGTAAAAACCTCTGTTTATTTACATAATTTTTTTATGACAACGTGTCTCCGTAGCTAATTGCTGAAAGTGAACAAAGCTTTTTTTTGCAACTTTCCTTCTCACAGTGGTTTGTCTAATTTCACTGGTAATAAAAGGAGATCCTTCTGAGACGGATAACTACAATGACTGCTCTGCCCCGGCATTATCAGCAACATGGCAATTAATTATGTTGACAAGATAAAACTTCAGCAGCACTTTGCTCTACTTTTCTCATTCAGAGGAACTGTTTCTACCACCCCCTTTGTTTCCTGTCTTCAGCAGGACATTAGACCCTCTGTCCAAGCAGGGGCTCTTTTGTTGATGTTGCCAAGAGACAAAGAATGGACAGTGTTACAGTGGCCTCAGCAGCTTCCAAGAAATTTGATAATCCCCACCATGCTACTCAGAAATATAACTTTCAGAGGTTAAACTATTCTTTTCAAGAATGTGCTTCAAGTGTGAAGATTAGGGGGGGAAATTAGGGTTTTTTTCTCAGCAAATATCCTCTCTTAAAATGACAGACTGCGCCTGTAATTAAATCATTCGCATTATCCTATAAACTGTATTTCTGTCAAGAAGATTCTAATCAGAATTTCATTCCATGGGGCAGTAGATTTTATCTACAGCGAAGCAACCCTGAATATGAACAACAGCATGCCTGAGCTTGTGAATCTAGTTAAGGAAGGACACCAGCAGCATCTGTTTCTATAAAGACACTGAGCGCAACTTTTCTGAAAACAGACGTCTCGTGACGTGCACCTATCCTTGAGATATCCAGCCCTGAATTTAAAGTCATTAGCACAAATATGTCTTTGTCAGGGAGCACAAGACGCTTTGGATGCTGTTGGCTGCTCTCGTCCGCAAAACATTTCAAGGGAATAGAATCACACCCAAGTATGGTATTTGATCTAAATATTATGCTGCTCATTCTGTATAAGAAATAGCTTAGTTTCCCATATAACTATTACAGTATATAACATATAGCCTATATCCTTTGAAAAGCTCATTGATGATATTTTGCCTGGATTACAAAATAACTACATAATATGTATCCTCTCTGTTAGCTTCTTCGTGGATATGTTTAATTCACATTTCTTACAGAATTTACTCAAACTTTAGCCTAAGAAGAGGCACAACTTCTTAAAGATAATGGTCTACGTGAGTCTATAGTACATTTCTGGCAAACTGTCCGTGTCCTAACTTGTTGGAAAAAGACACAAAAAGGGTGGTAAAAGCACTGACACAAGTGCGGTGTATTGCGTTTTGCTGCCCCCCGCCGACAAGCGCTGACATCTGTTAACCCACAGCTTTTTACAAGAGCTAGCTTTAGCATTCACATATAGGATTTTTTTGCTTCTGCAGCTATAATAGTTTAAATACAATTCGTTCGACCCTCCAGCCATAGCCAAAAAAAGTGGTTCGTCACACAAACGGCAGCTGCCTGGTAGGTATGTAACGCTGTTCCGTTAAGTCTTAAGTTATTACTACTGTGTTAGAGGGCTGCAAAGGTACGACTTCATATTTGTTGAGCTAGTTTCTTATTTCCTCGTCCATTATTTGATGAGGGCACACATAAGTGCGTTGGAGTGTCTGTAGGGCTCGAAGAAAACGGTTTACACCCGTCTTTATCGTTTTGTGTGTCCCGTAATGTCTGAAGCCGTCATTAAAATGAAACAGTCTAGCTTGAGTTTGTTTGTTTTGTTTGCTGACGCACGCGCCGTCGAACGCAACAGAGTGCCCCAGGAATTCACAGAGGCCATGCGGCGTAAATCGGGAACGTCTGACATGGCTGCCAACACCGGACAAAAGAAAAGTGCCTACTTCTGCATGGACATTTAAACACAACAAGCACACGTGTGCATCTTGGGAGTCACCTCGGCCCGTGGTTTTGAAAGCTTTTGTCAAACAAATTCAAATTCGTTCTGTGAAAACAATGTAATAATATTGCATAGTTGTATATATCAGTGTTTTAAGGAAGAAATACACTTTAAAAAATGTTTACTTGGCTAGTAACAGAGATGTTATATAAATGTAGGAGAGAAACATCAACTCTATTTATGTATGACAGCAGTAAGTTAGTCAAAATAAACTCTCCTCTAATCTTTCCTTCTTTCTCTGTAGCTCGATCTCTTCAAAGATGGAAAACTGACACACACCATGGCAGTTTTCAGGACGAGGTCAAGCAGTGAGAGGTCAGTTTTTATTTGAGCAGTTTTTACTTGATTCTCTTTTCATAGCTAAAACAGTTTAGAGGTATTATGTGTGACTTTTAAGTGGCTCCTGGGAAAATGTCTTTACAATGAGGCGTTGTCCCAATTTCATTTACCTGTAGGGCAGAACTTTATGACCCTAGCAGGCCTCTGTCATCAGATTCGGAGACTGAGATGTCACAAGCAAATGTCAGCAGCCTCACACCACCCTGTCAGGAGAACAACCTGGGTCGTTGGCGGTCGTCTTCAGAAAGAGTCTGTCATGACAACAGACGTTGGGAGCCACCCTGTTCTGAGAACAGGAGGCGGCCCATTGACAGATATGAACCTACTAGCTGAAGCAGACCCACAGAGAACAGGGGGGTCAGTCCAGGACATATGCAACCCTGAAAAAAGGGTGTATAGCCAAGATGCCGAGTCATTTGGTCACCCACGTTTTTTCTCCACAACTGGACCCATAGAACAAACAAGTTGCCATCCTAAAAGTCCCCCTTGTGGCTCTTCCACCTAACATTTTTCAGCATCTCATATTAGAGAAATAACTAAAGGACAGGAGGGGATAAACATTGCCTGAATATAGGAGAGATGGGGTACGGAAAGTAAGTGTTTTTTAAATGATCTTTTGTGCTTTAATATGACTGAATTTTACTGTGAATTTTCTATTTACACTTTATGTATCCTGTCTGTTGTTGTCCAATGTGGTGATCGTGTCACAAATGTCTCCTTGTAGATGACCAATACAGACTGTGGACTGTCCCCACCCAGATTTAAGCAGGATTATCCACATCACTCAGAATATGAGGGAACAGGTAAACTGGCTTTCACATCACATCGTAGTAGGCTTGAGCTCTGTGTTACATGATTCCATAATACATTCTTTTAAAACTGTTGTTCAGCAGGCGCAGACAGAGACCCGCCTTCCAGAAAGATGACAAAGAGAGAGGACGGAACTGTGAATGCTGGCAGGTGGGTGCTGAGTAGCTCATAGATGGTAAAAGTACTTTATTTTAAAGCCCATTGGCACGACTGATTATATAGTAAATTAGAAGAGGTCTAATGTTGAAGATAGGGATTTGAATTGAGCCGCTGTTTGTGTAGTCCTCACACCTTTGCATGGTGGGTGGACTTTCGCTTGCATTGTTTAGAAGAATATAAAGGAAACTATTGCTTTTATAGTTAACTAATCTTTCAACTCATCTTTAAGTTTGTTCCAAGCGGCTGAGTATTTCTGACTCTTTTGCCTTTCTCTCCTAACCTGAGTAATCTTTTTGTCTGAAGGAGATAGAAAAAAACGTTTGCTTTTTCCTTTTTGAATAGCTGCCAAATTAAAAAAATAAACCTGAGAAGAGAAATAAAAAAGAAAGAACACCTTCAACACAGCACTAAGATGGCCTTCATTACATTTTTGCAACACAAAATGTGAAACGGCTCAATATTTCATAACCCTGATTAAAGACCAAAAAAACTGACTGCTTCTCTCTAACTGCTCTTGTCAGTCTGAGCACAGATCCTTTCTCGTGTGTTTCCTTCCTCTGATAAATCCTTTATGAAAACGCACTCCTTTCTAAGGAAAACTATTAGACTGCCGTTGGTACCACCAGGGACTAGATTTACCTTTCTTTTCTCTGCCATTCCAGTTGACCTGTCTGTCTATTAAAAACCAACATGTCTCATAGACACTCTAGACAATGAACCAGAAGAGAAACAAGTCTGAGTTGTTTATTTATTTGTTTTTTATCCCCCTTTAGATTTTTAATTATTTTTTCTTGCCTGTTATTTTTCTTTAGGTTATTAGTATTTTGTTCTTTCATTTCTGTTCCCCTTTCCCCCCTTCCCTTTCTCTTCCTGTCCCTTAGTCTGTAACTTTAATTTACTTTCATTTACGCTCTGTGCCTAAACATGAGGTTGTGGGGATGTGGGTACAGGTGGGTGGGTGTTCTTTCTGAAGATTGTTTAAAAAAGTGAGCATTTTTTTATTTGGAGTCCACCCAATCTTCTCTGAGTCTTTGTATTGTTGTTGCTCAATAAAGAAAACAACAAACAAAAAAAACAACTAACATGTAAAGTAACGTTTCATCACAAGGTGAAATAACTTGTATATAAAATTTAGGATCCAGTGTACTCTGACTGGTCAGTGGCCTGACCGGACACAATCCTCCGTTTGGAATCAGCCTTGAAATTAAGTATTGTAGCTGTTTAATTGGTTTGATTTATCATTGCATTTGAAAATGTCACTGAGAGCAGGATACGTTTAAAATGTATGGATTTATGTTTAGGAATTTCTGAATTCCTGCTAATTGATTCTTGAACAACTGTAGTAGGTCAGAGAGGGGACTTATTGTGATGAAGAAATCATAAACAAGTATTGAATCAATGAATTTAGTTTAATAAAAAACTACAATCCTAAAAAAGAGAGAGCACAATAATCTTTAAACTAATAAGAGTTTTCATTAGTTTTTTCATTAAGTGTTTGCATAGAAGCTGATATGATAGCTATAAACCTCTAGTGGTCTGATCACTAAGAACTGTCTCAGTACTCAGGCCTGCTCTGAGTTAAATTATACATTTAGTTAATTTTAATAGTAAAGATACTATTTAAATATTTCTCTGTTTTCTCCTTTACAAACCAAGGTGTTGTTTGTATGAGGTTGTAAAGGAAAAAGTTTGAACCCCAAGCTTAGCCTGTTGTGAAATTGGAACAAATATTTGGCCTAAAGGTTGTTGTTTGTCATTATAGTTTTTCCTAAATGTTTAAAACGAGAGAATTTTGTTGCAATTAATGTTTCTAGATATCGTGAGGAGACCTTTCATCAATTCTTCCAGTTGTAGAATTACCTATGACCTATGTGAGGTCCACCTGGCCAATGCACAGGAGCTGGAGACTCATTTGGACAACAAAAACCACTGGGATACCCAGGAGTACATTCATCAGAACAAGAGCTATGATGATCTGACTATAGCATTCATACAGGTAAGATAATACCTACTTAATGTAACATATATATTTAGGGGATGGTTTAGTTATTCCTACTAATCTGTTTCACAGAAAAGTTTACTTATAATTTCTTGTTTTCATTCTTAAAATATGTAACACAGTTTTAAAAAAGACCCATTTTCATTACTAAGTTCAAAAGCTTGCATCTCTGATAGTATTTGGATGCATTAGAGTATATGGAATAGGCAGCTTACACATCTGGTAAGGCTTCATTTTGCTGAAAGGCAAGCACCGGTTTCTTCTCCCATATGATGACCTATTGTTTGGGGAAGGCTGTGCATAAAATCAACAAGGCCATGCTAAGTCCCACAGAGCAACTACGCTGCTGCCATTGGTGCTGAACTGGTGACCTGATGTAAATATCCTCCAGATGGACATAATTAAGAGGAAAGTAGAGCAAATAATACCCTGGATTGGGTTGAATCTGAAATCAGACAAGAGTGGGGCTAGTGTTATAAAGTGAGTGACTTAGCAAGGTACCAAAAGGTTGCACACTGGGTCTTCTCATGAATATCAGTACAGTAGAACCTCTACGTAAACATTTGATTTGTTCCGGGAACTTCTTTGTATGTTAAGATATTTGAATGTTGGTTCAAATATTCCCATAAGAATACACTGCAATTCGTATAATTCGTTCCACATCCCAAAAACCTACGATAACTCCTTAATAAATACTCCAGATGATTACACATAGCAATAAAACAAATGTATTATATAAAAGAGATGTAAAAATAAATAAAGTATAAAGAAATGATCAATAAAAAGGAGTTTTTAGTGGCACTTTACCTTTGAGACTGGCAAACGGGAGGTGTAGGCTTGGCGATGCATGAAACTGTCTGTGTGGAGGTAGAGTTGGTGACTGAGATACAGTAAACACCATATCTTACTCTAACTTTCACTATGTGAACTTTAAACTAACTTAGTTTATTTAATTTTATCAAATTTATATATTTAATATTAAATATATTTAATAATTTCTATGACTTCAACGTCACACTTGACGTTGATAATTCTCTTTTATTTGATCAAATTTCACTCCGTATGTCGGAAAATTTGTATGTTTAGGCAATTGTAAGTAAGGGTTTTACTGTACATGCACAGTGAGAGGCAGTTATATCAGTCACATTAATTCCCACATACATATTGTCTACATTCGTTTAGTTTCTTTGAGTTACTTGGAAAACCTCATTGGATCTTCCTGCTTTCCTTGGATCATGTATGTTTGTGATGTCTGTGCACTTGCCCATCAGGATTATAATGTTGGTTATTTTCTGTATTGGAAGTCGTGCTATATAAATGCCATCACTGTAGCCCGGCCATAGTGGACAGCACAATTGAGGGTAATGCTTCTGACAAATGGAAACTGTCAGAAAATGAGAAAGGAGCATAGTTTTCCTTCAAACAAACACCCAACCTCATTCCGGCCCTTGTGATTTGTCAGCTTTGCAGGGAAACGACCACATGACAAAAGGTGGAAATGTTTCATAGTGCTGCTTGTAAAGTCTAAATATTCACATCTGCAGCCGAGGTACAGAGTCACATCACCTCTCGGTGACACCTCTCCACGACATAGGTAAAAGCTTCAGAAAAACATATCAAAATGTTATTTTCTTTGGACATCTTCGGTTAATAAAGAACGCTGTTGGATATCTTTCGTTGAAGGAGTTCGATGTGAAGCAGAGACGGGCCTGCCTCGACAGGGCAGACATCATGATTAAAGTGCTGAAGCCAGAGTTTCAACACTTTCTACAGGTATTTTAAAAGAGATTTTTAAAGTTGTCTGGCTTAAGTAACAGTTGGTATAACCACAAAACCTTCAAAAGTAATGGGAGTAAAAATGGTCTATTTTTTAAAATTCTTTTTGTTTAAATTGTCTGAACCTTATTTGGTGCTTGAACTATGCTTTAGGGAGGGAGGTTACTGCAAATGATTTAACAAAAAAAGCCCTTAAATTCAATCTTTGATGCTACCCTACTTGTTTTCTTTCAGGGTGGCTGCCCCTTTGAATGACTGTATTCAAAACCTGATTCAAAACCTCTTCAGAAGAACACTGGACCATAAATGACATACAGGGATTGGACAATGAAACTGAAACACCTCTCATATTAGTGTGAGAGGTTTCATGGCTAAATTGGACCAGCCTGGTGGCCAATCTTCATTAATTGCACATTGAACCAATAAGAACATACTGTGACGGTCCAATTAGCAGGGTAAGAGCACAGTTTTGCTCAATATATTGCAATGCACACAACATTATGGGTGACATACCAGAGTTCAAAAGAGGACAAATTGTTGGTGCACGTCTTGCTCGCGCATCTGTGACCAAAAAAGCAAGTGTTTGTGATGTATCAAGAGCCACGGTATCCAGGGTAATGTCAGCATACCACCAAGAAGGACGAACCACATCCAACAGGATTAACGGTGGACGCAAGAGGAAGCTGTCTGAAAGGGATGTTCGGGTGCTAACCTGAATTGTATCCAAAAAACATAAAACCACAGCTGCCCAAATCACGGCACAATTAAATGTGCATCTCAACTCTCCTGTTTCCACCAAAACTGTCCGTCGGGAGCTCCACAGGGTCAATATACACGACCGAGCTGCTATAGCCAAACCTTTGGTCACTCGTGCCAATGCCAAACATCGGTTTCAATGGTGCAAGGAGCGCAAATCTTGGGATGTGGGCAATGTGAAACATGTATTGTTCTCTGATGAGTCTGCATTTACTGTTTTCCCCACATCCGAGAGAGTTACGGGGTGGAGAAGCCCCAAAGAAGCGTACCACCCAGACTGTTGCATGCCCAGAGTAAAGCATGGGGGTGGATCAGTGATGGTTTGGGCTGCCATATCATGGCATTCCCTTGGCCCCATACTTGTGCTAGATGGGCGCGTCACTGCCAAGGACTACCGAACCATTCTGGAGCACCATGTGCATCCAATAGTTCAAACATTGTATCCTGAAGGATGTGCCGTGTATCAGGATGACAATGCACCAACACACACAGCAAGACTGGTGAAAGCTTGGTTTGATGAACATAAAAATGAAGTTGAACATCTCCCATGGCCTGCACAGTCACCAGATCTAAATATTATTGAGCCACTTTGGGGTGTTTTGGAAGAGCGAGTCAGGAAACATTTTCCTCCACCAGCATCACGTTGTGACCTGCCCACTATCCTGCAAGAAGAATGGCTTAAAATCCCTTTGACCACTGTGCAGGACTTGTATATGTCATTCCCAAGACGAATTGACGCTGTATTGGCCGCAAAAGGAGGCCCTTCACCACACTGATAAATTATTGTGATCTAAAACCAGGTGTTTCAGTTTCATTGTCCAATCCCTGTAATATCAAATGTATATTGTGTTAATAAACATGTCAGCTGGTATGAGGGCTCCACAATGTCATCATTTAAAGAAAACTTAGTTTTTAATATTTTGTACTCTTTTATTTGTAAGTTACAAGATGGTTGTCATAACATGAATACAAAAATGATTTGAAAAAGTCAACATGTTTTTGCTTTTTTTTATTTTGAACAACACAAATGTTTTACGCATTGTATCTGTGTGATATAATACATTTAAAATTAAATTATTTCAAAACAGTTTATTTAAACATTAAATATAGGTGACTTGTACGAAGGGCATGATCTGCACAGGTTGTGCGTGTTAGGACTTCTTTTTCCTCATCCACCTTTTAGTTTTTATTTTGTTTTAGAAACAATGCAGTTACTGAAATACTATAAAACATTTTCTATGCATAAAAGATTGCAGACTTTTTTTTTTCTTTTCTTTTTTTTGTTACCTCACACTTTCAGTCGCAATATTCCTCTCTAAATCTGGCCTGAAAAGATGACATGGGCATTGACTGGAACATATTGCAATACAAAGGAAACATGATTCTTTCTATCCTATGTGAAAACTGATGCTTAGAATTTTTGACTTGAACTGACTCAAACCATGAAGAAATCTGAGGTATAAGTTGTCTTCATTAGAAATTGATTCAACACTACATTACTGCTTAAAACGAGAAAAGAAGTTTGTCAAAAAAAAAGACCATGTAAAAACAGAGGAAGGTAACAGTATCCAAAATAACACGTTTCTGTCCAAATTTTCAAACATGCACAATATCTAAATCATTGAGCAATGTTGTACTTTTTGGCCAGCATTGACTTTTTAAAAAAAAAGAAGAAAAAAAAATGAAGGAACATCCAATGTACATACACATACAATCTAGTGAAATCTAAAATCTAAAAAGGTCCTCACTGGCCTCCTGAGGCAGCATGTGCGACTGTCAAAGCGCTGTCTTGATCAGTCTTGAGGGTTGGGGGGTGTATGGGTAATGAGGTAACCTCAACCATACCCAGCCCAGTGTGAGGAACACCAGTGTTCATAATGTGTCTCTGTAAGTGTTTAATCCAATCCTCCTGGACTGACAAGGGACCCTGGAAGACGAGGTCACAGAACCTGTGAAGAGAAGAAGGGACCATCAGACATAGCCATATCTGCAAACATCAAGTTGGTAAACTGCTGAGGCTTTTCTTCTACGAAAAAAGTATGATTTTCTAGCATTGTAACAGAAGAGAAAAACTGCCGACATTTAGGAAAATTACCTGCAGGTGAGCCTGTACATTTCCTCTGGAGTTTGGGGTATAGGAAGCGTCTTCTTCTTTGAGCCAGGCCTGGAGCGTTGCCTAACCGCCTTACAACAAATTGCTTAAAGACAAAATTATGAATTAGCATGACTGAGAGCAATAATAATCACATGTCATCATGTTAGCTTAGCATTCGTTTAGTTTGGATGCCTTGGTGCATAGCTATTAAGTGTTCATTGTAGTCTTGTTTTGACTATCGAGGTAAAATGACGGACAGACTGTCTCATTTGCAGCGTTTGCAGCACAAAGTGACAGTGTAATCATCTGTGCAGGACAAGTGGATGTAGAAAGCTTTCTGCAATGTAAAAAAAACGTTTTGGTATGTCTCACTTATTAACACCCACCAAGACTTTACCTCAAGTTTAAAACGCGTTGCTGTTAATCACACATGTATGAATTCATCATGGCTGCCTCGGCTTACTTGCAATTGATTGGTGCGTTCGCTGTGCACACTCTTAGAAGGTAACGTGATGCTATGCAGGCTGCAAAATGTCTGTGACAAATAGAGGGCGTGTAAGCGCATTTTTAAAAATTCAGTGTTTTGTATTATCAAATTGTTGCACCATGCTTGGTTTACGGGCCTCATCTAAGATAGAATTACAATTGCTTATTCTTTCGTAATCTTCAACTCATCCTATATTTATATTCTTATTGTCTACATCCTGTAGATGGGGCAGGAGCAGTACCACAGTACTACAGTCATGGCCAAAAGTTTTGAGAATGATTCAAAAGTTAATATTTCCAAAGTCTACTGCTTCAGTTTTTATAACAGCAATTTGTATACACTCCAGAATGTTAAAAAGAGTGTTCAGCATAACAGCAATTAATTGCAAAGTCAATATTTGCCTAGAAAATTAACTTTATCCCCCAAAACACATTTCAAAGTCATTGTTGCCAAAATGGCTCCAGGGCGCCCAAGAAAGACCAGCAAGAGCCAGGACTGTCTCTTAAAAGTGTTTCAGCTGCGGGATCGGGCTACCAGCAGTGCAGAGCTAGCTAAGGAATGGCAGCAGGCAGGTGTGAGTGCATCTGCACGCACTGTGAGGCGGAGACTCTTGGAGCAAGGCCTGGTCTCAAGGAGGGCAGCAAAGAAGCCACTTCTCTCCAGGAAAAACATCAGGGACAGACTGATATTCTGAAAAAGGTAAAGGGAGTGGAGTGCTGAGGACTGGGGTAAAGTTATTTTTCTCTGATGAATCCCCTTTCCAGTTGTTTGGGACATCTGGAAAACGGCTTCTTCGGAGAAGACGAGGTGAGCGCTACCAGCAGTCTTGTCTCATGCCAACTGTAAAGCATCCTGAAACCATTCATGTGTGGGGTTGCCTCTCAGCCAAGGGAGTCTGCTCTCTCACAGTTTTACCTAAAAACACAGCCATGAATAAAGAATGGTACCAGAATGTCCTCCGATAGCAACTTCTCCCAACCGTCCAAGAGCATTTTGGTGATGAACAATGCCTTTTCCAGCATGATGGAGCACCTTGCCATAAAGCAAAGGTGATATCTAACTGGCTCAGGGAACAAAACATAGAGATTTTGGGTCCATGCCTGGAAACTCCCCATATCTTAATCCCATTGAAAACGTATGGTCAATCATCAAGAGACGGGTGGAAAAACAAAAACCTAGGAATTCTGACAAAATTCAAGCATTGATTGTATCCCTGTATGTGATGACAACATCTGACATACACACATGAAAACCAGAGGGCAGCAGATTATGTGAAAATATAATATTTGTGTCATTCTCAATACTTTTGGCCATGACTGTACATAAGTGTGTGAGCAGCAACAGCGAGAACAGAGTAGCTGCTTACATGAACGTGAGGACAAACAGAAATAGCAGTTTCAGCTATAGGGATGATCCAAGCTAACTAATCATGGCTCTACATATAATATATATCATTCAATGTTATCTGATTTCATTTTTTTAAAAGGTAGAAACAACCAAGTTAATTGTAGATTTAAATGTTAAATGTTTAACCTCTAGTAGAGCTATGAGCCAAAATAATAACTGGGTTTTCATTCTTTTATATATGTGAAAACAGCAAAAATGTGATTTGTGAATATTCCAATAAGAAATGTTATCAAACCAAGTAAGAAACCCATGAAATTGTTACCTAGATAACACGTAGGCATGTGAATCTTGATGGAAACTGACAGAAAATGAGGGGTGCCCCCTTAGTGATAAATAAAATGATCAATACGTGATTATGTTTACATAAAACAAAACAAAAATTAACATTTAGAAAAAATAAATCAGAATGTATTTAAGTGGACCATTTTGGTAAAATATCCTCAACTGAGATTAACAGAATTCCGGTTCTTTGAATAAATCTTAAAATAACTTTTTGTGCTGGAATACTTTGTGGTGGAAGTGTCAACTAGCTGCTGTTAAAGCTACAATTAGCATGAAAACTTGTTCGCTTCTCAGAAACTTCTGCACAGTCCATACACAAGCCTAATGAGAAGACCGCTTTTAATAGTGACGCTTCTAAGCTCATTCTACGAAGAAATGTAACTTAAGTAATCCAGCTAATTGACATTTGTGGCAGAACTTACTGGTTCCCTCCAGTAAGGCGATCCTTTTTCGTTTTGCATATGCTCGAAGGTGATTGGACAAGCTAACTCCACTATGGAAAGTTGCATTGCAGTGAATGCACACCTTCCTGTTGAATTCACCTTTCTCTGTGAATAAGCAAACAAAACAAAGTCATGTTACTGACAATTGCAGTTACAGTTTTATGAATCCTCATAAAATGATGAAGAATAGCACTATTCCAATAAAAAACTAAATAAAAGTAATAAAGTAAAAAATAAATATAATTATCCCTATCAATGTGGCCCATTCGTTTAATTTGAACCAAACAAAGTATATTAATGGGAATCCCATTGTACATCTTTATGCAGATGACAGCATACTTTAGTGATAAATAGCAGCAGAATGGATCCAAAACCCTAATCCCACAATTACATTTTCATTCAATGATTTAATGTCTTTGTCAGCATGGGTTCTCTCCGGGTTCTCCGGCGTCCTCCCACCATCCAAAAACCCACAAACCAGGGTGTACCCCGCCTCTTGCCCATTGACTACTGGGATAGGCTCCAGTCCCCCTGCGACACCAACACTTTCAAGCTGTCAAAAAACTGCTAAGTAAACTGTATAAACTTACCAGATATTGAATTTGGCAGTGAAGATGCAACCATTCCTGAACTGTGCTCACTGTTTGAGGAAACCGGCAACATGGTTCTTGACATGTAAGAGGACGCCTTCATTTTGCCATCTTCCTGACACTTCCTTTTCTTCAGAATCCCTATCAAAGCAGTTGTGCCTGACAGTGAATTTTTAACATCCAACTTGGTCTCCAGTTGCCCTTTTTCGGATTCCATTTCTCCCAGAGAAAATGTGGGCATCAGTGGTTTGGTGTCAGTGCAAACAGAATGACTTTTTGAGATTCCAGTCGCGGCAGACGTATAACGATTAGCTGTGGGCAGCTTTGGTGAAGCTCCGTATTGGAAATCGTTTCGTTGTTTCCCAAGAATCTGGAGGGCTCGTTGGCACTCTTTCTTGTCTCGCATTAGCTCACGGAGTAAAAGTAATGGAGATTTGTTCTTTGTGGAAAAGCTTTTACCAAGCTTTTTAAGGTGGCCTCGTATGTGGTTTGACTGTCCAGTTCTGTTGTCGAATGAGTCCCCACATAATGGACAAGAGTGAATGCCTTTCACAGTCTCAGACTCCGATTCTAGTTGTAATGCTGAGGGAGAAAAGAATTAAATTAAAAAAGTCATACGAGACAAACATACGAGTATGAAACATTTAAAATGTGTCACCAAATCACAAAAAAACGGATGGACAAAGCTATAATGTTTAGCCACAATTCAAAATGTCATTTTTAAATCATGGCAAACCAAATGCCCATTGCCAAATTTCTTAAAATGGATTTGATCTCAAATGTAAATGTTGATGTAATGCAAGATATTTGCTTCTTTTCTTCTTGTTTGTTGTACTTCCAAACTACTTTGAATATCCCTTTTATTAACTATATGTCTTAGTTTAAGAAAGCTACAATAATTCGTATACAGATGTTGGCATGAATATGTCATCATCAGGGCCTGATACTCTGGTTCCATTTGGCTCAGAAGTTTTAATTCAAATTTGGAAATTTGATCTGACAAACAAAATCCTCTTAAAATTACAATGTATGTATGAGGATACATGTTTTCCATTAGAACCAACCCAGGCCAATGTGGCTCTACTCACCTCGCCACAATTCCTTTTAGCCAATTTGTCGTTACAAATAACGTCAAAACAAAAAGACGGGCCCCACACTTTGTATAGATTTGTGTATGTGACACAAACACCAGGCAAAAATTAAGGACATCACAGCAAACATATTCCGGCTGAACCGCAGGTTTAGACCTCAATGGTTAATTATTAGGCATTTAAAGTGTAGATGATCACAGACATAAATTAAATTGAACTTTTGTTGTTGCCATGTTTTCAAATGATTGTCATGAAGGAGCCACTTCCATGACTCATTGAGTCATGTGGCAATTTGGCCAATAAGCGATCAGCAATCCCCCGCCGCAAGACCACTTGGAACCTCAGCTGAGAAGGTGCTAAAATTGTAAATTGTTAGGAGGCGGTATACTGGGTATATTGTAATATACCCAAGAATCTTACCATGAGGAACAGTATTTACGTACCTTTTCTCAATCGCCGCAAAGCTGACATCTTCCGTCGAATTCGTGGTCTCTTATCTTGAGAAGCAACTTGCTCAGGAGGCACAACGTGGCGTGCGTTGTAGCTTAGTCCAACTCTATGAAGATGCCCTCTCACATGATTAGAGAGTCCAACACCAGATTCAAATACAGCAGGACAATATGGACAGGTCTTGCGATCCGATTCCAACTCTGACAAATCGTCTGTAGGGGATTCGCCCAGCGGTATTTGGTGGGCGTCAAAGGTCTCTTGAAATACCTCTGTTTCTATGCATTCTTCTTTGATTTCAGGGTCATTGATGTCTTGCTCTTCAGTCTTTATTTTCTCAAACAGCCTTTTAGATGCTTGTAAAGCACCCCTCATGGACATTCTTCTACTATATGTGTAAATGATGTTTTTTTTCTCTTTTTTCATACTATCATCAAAAAAATTACTATTGTCATCTGAATCATTATCTTCCAAAGATTCTTTATCGTCACACTCAGCAACTTCATCCTCTAAGTTTCCTTTCTTAGGACCTAGCAAAGGTTTTGGTAAGATGAAGCATGAGTCTTGGTCAGAAGTGTTGCGATATGGGATGGACATCTTCCGTTTAGATGGTGACTTGATGACAAATGAATTATTCAGTTTCAACTTTGGGCCATTAGGGGATGCAGCAGAATCTTCCACCTTGATGGACAACTTCTCTGGTGATTTGTCACCACCATCTTTGGAGTCCTGAGCATTTGTACTGTAATTATTGCTTTCCTTTTTCTGTTCTGTGCCCTTCTTCCCCTGGCTTTGTCGAGACAGAAGAACGTTGATTGATTTGTCAAGTTTCGATTCTGCTAACTGAGACTTGGGACCTCTCTTATTTTTGCTATTTTTGAACAAGTCTAAGATGTCAGTGGACTCATCAGGCGAGGAGGCTCTTCTGGAAGAAATTTGGTTTTTTAATGATATTTTAGACATTAACTCAGTATCTTCAACAGCTTTACAGGTCTGCACCTGGAGCTCCTTAGACTGCTGCGTGTTTTTCTCAAAGTCATGTGTTGCTGCGTATTCCTCAAAGGTCAGCTGATGGCGTCGCAGAAGGTGATTTTGAAAAATGTGTTTGCTAAAAGCTTTATAAGGACAAATGTTACAGGGAAAGATTTCACTTTTGTTACTCTGGATTTGCTTTTTAACTGTAATAACAGTGTGCTGCATAATGTTATGTCTCCTAAGGTCATTCTCATTCATAGTCCTGAAGCTACATTTGTCACATCTAAACTTTCTTTTATCCTTTTCGTGTGTTTTCGCATGTTGAACAAATGTGTTGGGGCAGTTTGTGCCAAATGGGCACTGTGGGCAGAAAAACTTGGCATTTTCATCCTCTTTCTTCTTGTCATTTGTGCCTTTGATATCATCTGAGTTTCTGGTTCTCTTGTCATGATGGATGGACATGTGGTCAATGAGCGCACTACTTTGTTTGAAACACTTTCCACATTCTCTGCATATAAAAGGCTTTGGCAAAATGCTTGGAGGGTCATCGTGAGACTTCATATGACGATGCAAGCGGTGTTCTTTCTTAAATATGAGATTACACTTTGGGCAAGGGAAACATGATGGATTCCCCTCCGGCTGAGAATTTAGTGTGAGCCTCCCCTTTAATGGTGAGAGTCCATGATTTATATTATTCTCATGTGAATTTCTTGTTGGTGCTTTGTAAAGAATTTCTTTAATGGTCTTTACAGTTCCATTAGGATACTTAGAAACTTTCCCTGTTGATGACTGTGACTTGGAGAGCTTCTGTGACTTTCTAACTTTTCTGACTGGACTGGAATCTATTTGATCTTCAGTATCAGATGACTCTTCCGATGACTTGGGGCTTAGACCAGGGTAAAGGTCTTCAGAAGGATCCACCATAACAACCATGTCCATTTTCCGTTTTCGCCTCCTCTGACTATTGGATGGATTGAGTTCCTCTTTAGGTTCCTCGCCAGGGGACTCACTGTGGTTGTCCCATAAAAACTGCATAAACTCTTTGTGTGGGTCCCAATTGTGGTCACTGGCACTACTAAAATTGTCCATTGAGTTTTCAGGGGATTCTGCATCAAACCCCCAAATTCCTGCAGGGTCGAGTTCCTGCACAGTCTTTAGTGGGGTAATACTCTTTTCCTCCTCTTTCTCATAGGAGATGCTATTGAGTTCATGGGCTTGTGTAGCCTGATGCAAAGAAGGTCCATTTCCCAGACCAACGGGAGACAACATATCAGTGTTTGAAAGAACATCTAGGACACTGTTTTGTTTCAGAGAGGCTTTTCCAAAAGAATTGGTGCAAGAGGACGACTCATGCGCCATTCTCAATGGTTCCTGCAGGAGTGTGAGGGCATTGATTTCAGAATCTGCATCTTTGTCGTCTTCGTCAACACCTGACAGACATGACATTTCTGATGCCATGACCTGAAAAGAAAATGAAAGCCTTCTCAATCACAAACATTAAAATACATAGTCAAATTAATTAGATTTCATTTTTTCAGGAAAATGCATATCTTTGAGCAAGAAAAGCTAATTGACTAAAAAAGGAACGACATTTTTAAATCTACTGCATGTAGAATATATAAGAACATTGTCATGAAAAACTTTACCTCAAAACACTGGTGGTTTGGTTAGATGTTCCGTCAAAAAGTTGCTTTATATAAAAAAGTTGTAACTCAGAAAGTTATCTTAAAATGTTGTTGGAATCAAAAGGTAACTGTGCAATATTTAGGCATCTATGAATCAGACAGGCCCTGTGACGGACTGGTGACTTGTCCAAGGTATACCCTGTCTCTCATCAAGTTATAGCTGGGGTAGGCACCTTCTGTGAAATGTCAAGAATACTCTGTGCATGTCATGGAGTTGATGCAAAATCCATTTAAATTAACTGTTGGCACCATAAAAGATGTAGCATGAAATGTTCCATTAAGAACAGAAAACAATAAACTGCTGGCAGAAACCATCAGTGTGTAACCCCCTAAAAGCTTCAAGCTATCCATCAGCCATGTCAGTTTTCATTTTTGTTGTATGCAGTATGTAATCAACAGTGGGACCTTTGGACTGATGTTTGCCTAGTAGTTACATAGTTTGTCTACACAGAAAAACACAAAAATCCATTTTGTGTTTCTTTTCCCCCCTGGACTCCTAGTGTGGGAAGGATGACTACTGCATGAAACATAATTGACTTTAAATTATTCTTCCTTGGTTTCTTGGTATCGTCAGTTTCCTGGATAGTTTTATCTGCCATTTTCTTTTAGGTTTATAGCAATATAACTATAGAAAAGAACATTGAATTGAATGTCTTCATTGTCATACAGCTACAACGAAAGTGGATATTGAATCATACTGAATATGGAACACTCTCTCTTACTTATACTCATTGGTTTCCGACTTGCACCCAAAGCTGTGTGAATTTCCTGCTAAACTCAACATTCGAAACCATGCAGTAATGGTTGTTGATTCTGCAAACATAATTTCTGCTTAAGAGGTTACTAGAGAATTTATTAGGCCAAGCTAATACCGAACACCGTCTGGTGTGTCTTTGAGTTTGCCATTTCTAATAACTCACATCAGTCTAGAAATGCGGAAGTGAATGAGTGAATATTTGTATTGCTGTTTGACTATGAGGGCCATGTGATAACCTAGCGACATGTCCAGGGTGTACTCTGCCATTCACCCAATGTAAGCTCAACGGAACCTCAAAGCTTCACAAACAAATGTTACCATACCAGTGAAGTGCTCATTTTGCACTTTTCACCCTTACTAGTTAATATGAAGCATTGTGCGGACAGGCGGGCAAGGCCAGTGCTAAATACTTGTGATTCACATGCCACCAATTAAGTTTTCTTGCTTAGAACTTTGCAATAATTGCAAGTTTGTTGCAAAGTGACTTCATAGGACAACCCCATGGGAAACCAGGCAACCCTTCATAATCCTTTTAATTTTCCGATTCAAAGATAGTAAAACTTTTTTTTCAAAAAAAGTGAAGGATTAAACAACACTGAGCATCAAAAAGTAAGACATGATGGAATCTGGATATACTGCATAAATATTCTTGTCAAGCCACTTTGCTGTCCTTGCACACTACTACACTACCAATAGATTACTCTGGGTACTCAAAAAATATATATCTTGAGGAGTGGAAACCCCATACTCATCCCAACCCCCCAGTCAAACCCCCATACGACTGTTGGTCACATGTCATGGTAGGTTACCTAACTATTCTCTCTACTCCACTGCTTTGCTAGCACAGCTTTTGATAGAAAGAACAAAACTGATATAAAGTTTTCCAAAAGCAAATCAAATTGCTAGACTGACTCTGTGTCTGTGCATCTGTACAGTGGTTAAGTGGCTTGCATTGTCGTGATATAACAAGAGAGTTCCTGGTTTGAATATTGGCTGAGGCATTTCTGGGTCACGTTTGTATGATCTCCCAATGTGTGCATGGGTTCTTTCCAGGTATATCCCCTAACTATACCAAAAAGTGAGTGTGAGCATGCATAGTTTTGTGTTTCATTCATTTCCGTGTGGCCCTGTCACAGGTCTGGCGACCTTTCTAGGATGCAGTCCAACTCTTCTCCAACCTCTCACTCGGACCCAAACAAGAAGAAGCCAGTGTAGTAAAATGCAAGGATATATTCTTTTAAGGTACTCTGACTTCCCAAAGGATTATTCAGCAGTTCAAAAATGTATGGTCCTGTAGTAGTCCTTCTAGGGTGTGCTCCACCTTACAACTAAAGGTAGTTGGAATAGACCTAAGCAATGGGATTTAAGTAGGTGTTAAAAAATGGATCAATGGATAGATTTTGTGTATGGTTTCTAAAGCAAGTGACGATTTCTTCTGGAGCCATAGCATAAGAAAATGCAAATATAGGCAAAATGTTTGATATATTTTTCACTAAGCGTCCTGGTGTAGTCAACAGCTGAGACAATGGCGGAACGTATAAGCAAATATCCTTTTACTGACCCTTTGTTGAGAGCACTTTATTGGGTGCTGCATTCTGCTCAATCCCTGATACATACAAATGCATAATATAGTCATATCAACACAATAAGGAACCTCATCTGCCTAACTAAAAATGATCCCGAAAACTTTAATTTCCACTGCAAAATGTCTTCATCGCAAGTTGCCTCCTTTGTACTCTAAAAGATATTCCTCCGCATTTCTATCTGGTAACACACAAAAATTTAAATCACAGTTTGATGTAATTAGGGGAATGTTTAGTCTAAATAAAAATAGTGGAACAGATTCTCACTCAATCTTGAAAATCTGAGAACTTTTTTTATTATGACTATTCCACACATAAGATTAGTCACTTTTTTTTTTTTGTTTAGACTAAGCAACTGAATGATATGTCAGCATCCATCCATTTAAACCAACCACAATAGCTTTGAACTTACAAAAAGTACAATACCTAACAATATATCTGCCCCATTTTGAAATTGCAATATGAAAAGGGGAATACAATGGTCAATTTCGATTTGGTAATACTTCCACTGTTAGCTCAAAGACATATTTTATTACTCTCCAGTTTGTTTTCATGGTTTACAAAATGAATAGTGATACGCAATAGGTCCACACTTGGGTAATATTTGCTTAAGCAGTAGTGCAAGCTAATATTTATTAATTTTCCAATGCAAAATGCAAAAATATAAGCACATAGAGGAAATGTTTATAAATAGTACAGTAATCTTACATTTGATGATAAGGATGACAGGCACACTGCAAACCCTAAAGACCACCACTACAGCTATTAACTATTTATCATAGTGAAATATTAAAAATTTCCTCAGGAACAGAGGGAATATATTTATGAAAGAAAGATCTTACATGAATGTTTATTTTTAGTTATAATCTAAATTCTTAAGCGTTTTTTATTCATTTGTTTTGTTTTAGTGAAAAGTGGAGGCTCTCCAATGTGTAATATGGAATTATGACAATTAAAAAATAAGAAATTAACTATGTCAACACATGTTTATTTATCTAATTGTCTGTTAGCTTGAATTTTTGTGGTGATTATCTTAGCCAGTTTGAATTAGTTTTGTAATTAAGACAACGATTTGATGATGGAATCTGTGTTAACTTTACAGTTAAACCAGCATTCAGTGATTAAGAAACAACTACAGCCAAATGCAGAATTCGCCAGACTTGCCATTGATGATTAATTGTGGCCATTTATAACGCTACAAGGTCGAGGGAGTGAAAGGTCTTGGATTTGAAGGGCAATAAAAGTGTCATAGCAACTAAGTGGTCGTGTTATAGATTAAGGTTTGTCTCATTTACCAAGCAACGCCAAATCTTCAAAGAGATGGACCTTGCAAATGGCTTTTAATGAGCGGTTGTGGATTTTGTATAGAGCTAAAACTTTCGGCACAGTACTTCAGTAATATGCCATCACACAGCAGTTAGGATGTATTTGTAAAGGTAACTACTTTCAGAACAAGGCTGATCATTTATACCTCCAATCCACTGTGTTGTAACAGCACATATATGACGCTTCTATCACGCTGTTGTTGGATGCTGCTTGCAGGAGCTGCAGACCATTCCATTAAGGCTGTTCCATACCAAAACCTATTCCTCAGGCTAAACTAGAGCTAATGACAGTCATTCCACGCTACTTGCTAAAAAGACACCAATAACATGACGATAAACAAATAGACGTTACCTCCGAGTGGCGTGGATGGAAGCAGGGGACAATTTAGACGCTGCATTTAATAATTTCTTACTTTCGTCTTCCATCTATTTCACAGTCGCCATTTTCCGTGGTGGTCTGGTGTGGGACAGATCATTTCTTTTGACGGGTAACCGTGTATTAATTTGGTTCCGCAGTAACAAAACAAACTGCTGGACAAGCAATCGTATTAAAATGTATAAACATTTAATTAAACCTTCATGTTTAGGGCATTAGTAGATTTTTTGTCTTGTATGATTTCTTAACGTATTATTACGCGCCGGCACCATGCTCCCCCGAATGACTTGTGTTGGTTCGTTCCGCATAGGAGGCATAAAACCGGAGTTAATGACCATCTCTTTTGGGTAGCAGATTTTTTTTAGGTTGATGGCAGTTAACCGTCATTACAATTGATAAGATAATGTGAACGCTCATTTACCATTTTGCTAGAGTATTTTAAACTCGGTGATTTGGTTTTGCTGTATTCAATTCCCAATGTGGGAGAGAATAGTTCCCCAACACAGGAGAGATGTTACCACTGTCTCATATGGTTATTTTCCCCTTGGCCTTTTGTTGCTTTTGTTACGGGTGATATGTCCCTTCAGTGTCTATCTGGTTTATTCTAAATAGAGAATAAACTGTTTTTAACACACATTATAAACAATATGATGGCAAATCCACTATTAAGACACGGTTTTTCCAGTTTTGTGGCATTTAGCACCCAGCTAATTGTATGAATTAGGGGCTCCCTGTAAAAGTTAAATCGCACTAAGACAGTTATTTGTGTCCCGAGGGCTAGCGAAAATGGTGAGCAGCGGAGAGTGGGATAAGGTTTAGATTGATTAAACAAAGTTTTAGTCCTTATGTAAGAAATATGTTGATTTTGCTTCATGGGTATAATAACGTTACTGTAAAAATGATGAATGTTGTTGCTTAATTATGTAACTATTAAGTTGTTATACTTTATTTTTATTTGGTTGTTAGCTTACATTTAGCTAGCACAACCAGTAGTTACACATATATCCACCAACAAACCAGGTAGGTATTGGAGAAATTATATGAAATAGTTCAATGTTTAATGTTATTGTTCGATTTATAAAGTGGGCTGTATTGTAGTTTGGATTAGAATACATTGTCTTCATGTCAGTGTTTAAATGTGATTAGCAATATCTATGAAAGCTAAATGTAATCTCTCCTATGTGTAAAGAAGTAACTTCACAGTGATTTATTTTAATCCTTTAAATGTCAATCCATGCACTGCTTAATTATGTTGTTAAATCACAGAGGCTTTTTTACATAATTTTTCACGAGATAAAACATTTTGATGGAATTATTTTGTTCTGTTTTAATTTTAGCCATAAAATATACTGTCTTTATAAACCGTTAAGAGTGCCACATTTTTACTTAATGTTCACAATTTTTCAACCAGGGACCATGGTGACCCATTGACCTGATGCGCTATTTGCTTCAGTTGTGTGAGTGCCTGTATTCTCTGAAGGGATGTTGAAGGCCAATGACCAAACCTTGTCCTTGGGCAGCCTGTTTTTCGAGAAACCTATTGTTCATAAGGTGTAAGTACTAAGCAGTGCACCACATCAACCCCTGCTCATCTTACGCTCTCAACTGAATAAATGTTTTTCCACCTAAACTGTGTTCGACAGTAGACCACTGCACCAGGAGGCTACGCCATGGCAATTGAAAGCTCCTCCACCGCTTAATCATATTCCCTCTACCCAGGATATGCAAGAGGAAGCGGAGTCTCTCTCAACCCTGTTTGGTGTGTTGTGCTCTGAATTTTGATTAATTTTTTACACATGAACACTTAGGCCTAAATTTAACCTTGTTGCTTATTTACTCACAATAGCTTCAACAGGCAGCTTTCCAATTTCTGTTTCATGCTGTATTTTCATTTTCATAAGTATAATTCAAATGGTCATTTTGCTGCAGAACTAATCAGCTGTTTAGGAGACACCTTATATATATATATATATATATATATTTTTTTTTTTAACAAGCTGACACAATTTTCTGAGGTCTCAGATAAATTTGGTCAAATTGGTCAAAATAACGCAGACAGAGTACAACAGCTCCTTTTTCATAATTATTTACACATCCAGTGAAGCATATAATGTTTAGGGGTATGGGGTGACCCACTGGACTCCAATTCACCCCTTTGTTCCTCAGGGTCACCTCTTTAGAGATGTGTAGTAATATTGTTACTGTATGAGAGACTCTCAGGATAGCCAAATCACTCAGATCACGCTGAATTGATGGAACATAAACCCCCTGCTTGCTATTTTAGACAAAATTCTTTCATAAATCTTGTGATCGCTAACCCATAACCCATAAAGTTGTGGACTCCATTATTTTCTTAATTCACTGAAGAATAGTGACAAGTTATACAACGTGTCCCCTTTAAAGCAGTAAAATCAAAGAATCTACTTCATTTTAAGAGTAATAACATTCTCCTACTTCTTTGCTTCCCTCAGATTTCTTTGAAAAACCCAAGACCGTACAGGCTCCATTAAAAGGATCAGCTGGTTTTAAGGCCTTATCTTCACAAATCAGCAGCTCTTACAGTTTTAACGATGGTGAGACTGAGATCCAAGGTGGTAGAAAGACCAGCCTCAGTGGATATGAAAACCTTTGTGAGGGTGACAGATTCAAGGAATACTCCGATGGTGGCTTTCAGAGGAGCAGAGGTGAAAAGAAAATGCTGCAGGACTTTGGTCATTCAGATACTGGCAGTTTGTCTCTGGACTGCAGTAGAAGCCCACCTTTGAGAAGAAGGCAAGTGTTACTTATTCTCAGGATGATACATCACTTTGGATTACAGTGTATTTTAACCTTGAATCCAGACAGTTACTCCACATCACCAAATTTTGATAAAAGGGGCAAAATCTGAATTTTGTGGCAGTAACAGTTCCTGATTTCAGAGTGGCAGGCCTGTATTGAAGTAAAAGTCAATCAGTGGAATTTTTCTTATGGAACATTATTCTTTTTTTTTAAATTCAATTAAATTTTATTTATATAGCGCCACATCACAACAACAGTTATCTCACAGTGCTTTCCAAACAGAGCAGGTCAGACCCTATTCTGAAGTTATATACAGAAGCCCAACAATTCCCATTCCAATTCCTATTCTTGCCGAACCTTAACAGGATTAGTGTTGTTTACTATGTTTACTATGTAAAACTTTCTCCAGATCTTCCAAGTTCCTAAACATAGGATTGGAGCGTTGTTGGTGCAGTCATTTTTATAGATTATCAAACATTTTCAGTCAAAAACGTGGCAGGGTGCTTAACCACCTTAATCATTACCCCTGATGCCCCTGGTTTTCATCAGTTTTAATAGGTGTACCTTTCTCCTTGCTCCAGTTTTCCTTTCCTCATTTCCTCCTCCTCAACAGTTTGTTCAGATTTCCAGTGCTGACTAATAAAGGTGACTCGTCAACCAAAGACGACCTCAGGAGCAGCAGCAGCAGCAGCCAGACAACATCCGGACCTCAAACTTTTCTCAGCCAGGTTGCCATGACAACAGCGCCTCCTTCTCTTCAGCTGCCACAGGCGACAGTTGGCCACGCAGCTCCTCCTTTCCCCTTCAACCCGCCGCTCTCACCCCCTCCTCTGGGCTCATCTGCACCAAGTGGCCGACCCCCGCAACAGGACAAGGGCACAAAGAGAGCTTTCGTTCCGCCCATGACGCCTCAGCCGCTCGTCATACAAGGTTCCACGCCACTCGAGCACCATCACAAACGGGCACTGTGCTCACCGTTCACTGCTTTGTTAAATGGGACTCATATAGCTTCTGCTAATGAGAAGGCCACCATGTTGAGTGTGATGGGGAGAAATATGGGAAGATCCATCCACTAACTGCTTAGCTGTAATGAAACATAGCGCTCACTAGGTGGTGAACAGAGGAAGCAGAAGATGGTTACATCAGTAAAGAAGGAGAACACTTGCATGACCTTCAAAATGTGCTAAATAATTACATTTTTATTTAGTTATAAAGCACCTTTCATACAGAAAGTAACACAAATTGCTTTACAAATTAAAAGCAAATTAAAAACACAGGTCTTCATATCCTTGAGTTATTGACCTGAGAAAAAGTTTACATACATGCCCAATAACCTCTTCTCATGCATACACACAGACACATCCACACAATATGCCGCCCCACCACCACAAATTAATCATCTTTGTGTCCTGCAGTTGCTGGATCCGCTTTCCGGAACTCACAAAAACAGAGTCTCTTTGAGATAAGATTATCTTCACTTTATTGGGGGAAAAAATCTAACATAATTTTTTTGTTTTCTTTTTTTAATGGAAACCTTTTCCTATGTGAAAACACAGGAAAAAGTTACAACGAAAATTCACTGCCCAGCAGGAGAAGGGAAAATAGGTTACCACAATAATCTCTGCTGGGCAGACCACTGGAGTAAGAGAATGGCAGTCTGACAAAAAAGAAAAACAGAACAAGAAGGAGGTTATCAAAAAACACAAGAGAAATTTTCCACAGACACAGGCTCAGATGGAAGCAAATGTAATTACCTAGCCCTGGAAACATGGGGCTGGAAAGCTTATGTAGAAAAGGTGTGATGGGCCGTGCGCCAAATGAGGCCACAGCTACCTGGGTGCCTTCAAAGGCAAACTAATAACTGAAAACAGAAATCCCCAAAAGTCAGGACAAAACACTTTGAACAGAATCAATACAAATGGGACAAAAAACTACAGTAAATTTATTGTATCTTTGATTTGTTCACAATTTAGGTTCCTGTGTGTCTGGAGTTTTGCGACCAGTCTCGGAAATTCGTATCCTTTTTGGTTGTAGTCTCTTGACCATATCTGAATTGTGGTCGAATGTCTGAAATCCATTATAACAAACCCTGTGCTTTGAAATCCTGAAACATGCTATACAGCAGTTAAATTCAGATCGGTCTTCAGTGAGTTTCCCTTTTTCAACTACGTTCAGTCTAAAGCGCTGGACGATGTAAGCATCTTTTTTTTTTTTAAAACAACCAAAAAATCATAGTTACAGTAACCCGATAGTTTTTATAGTTTCATCTGTCAAAATGAACTCTGCTTTAAAGGTTCTCTACACCAATAAGAACTTTGTGGCGTGTGCTCCTACTGGATCAGGCAAAACAGTACTGTTTGAGTTGGCCATCATTCGCTTATTAATGGAGACACCAGAGCCATGGCGAGACGTCAAAGCTGTATACAGTAAGCACAACTGAGGGTAGTATGTTTTTTTAATTCATTTTAGGTTGGAATTTTTTCCAGTGGACAGACTTTTGCTTGTTCTCTTCAGTGGCTCCAATCAAAGCTCTTTGCAGTCAGCGCTTTGAGGACTGGAAGAAGAAGTTTGGGCCTCTGGGACTGAACTGCAAGGAGCTGACTGGAGACACAGAGATTGATGACTTTTTTGAGATTCACGACTCCCACATCATCCTCACCACGCCTGTGTGTAAAATTACACAGCACGTCAATCAAAGCAGACCAGCAAAAATGAAAGCAATAACAGAAACCTGAGATTTGACTATGATCTAAGGTTCCATGTTCAGTGGATGTTATTGTTCTTCACCCCTACATTCCCTCTGTTGCCTTAGGAAAAGTGGGACAGCATGACAAGGAAGTGGAAGGAAAACTGTTTGCTGCAGTTGGTCAGCCTCTTCCTCATTGATGAGGTCAGTGTTTTGTTGATGTTTTTTTCAGAGCTTTTACTTTACAGGTTGGCAGTCCCTCGTAAACGATTACTATACATAATGCGTAATCACTGTCAAATATCACATTAGAGGATTAGCCTCTGGTCTAAGCATTTTATTTCACATAAAGTTAGCTATTAAACGTTAGAGCACATCCTCACCCTGAGTTGCCCATCATGAGAGTGCTCAGAGGTCTGGATTATTCTCTTTGAGGTTAACTCACTTGTTTACTAATTCAGTTAAAGTAGCTTTCATCCATTATGATCCTGTTCATTGGAACACTCTTTCACAAGAACTCAGATCTTCTATAGAAGTAATTGTCTTAAAATCAGGCTGTACATTCCATTTAAAAAATTTAGTTCGTCTCTCTTTATAGATATTTTAATGTTCTCTTCTGGCTCTTTAAGTAAGATTCAACCATACTGGGTTGAATCATAATGCATTTTCTAAACAACTCACAGTATTCCTAGTTAAAGTGCAGTCAGGGTGGGGGGCCTGAGTCTATCCCAGGTGTCATTGGAGAGAGGCAGGGTACACCCTGGTCACTGGTCCATCACCGGGGGACACAGAGAAGAAAAAGATAGACATTCATGCACACTCACACTGATTCGTTAGTTAAAATCTTCAGTTAACCTAAAACACATGTTTTTTTACTGGAGTACCTGGAGAGAACCCATACATGGAGAGAACATGCAAGACTCTTGGGATATTAAATTCTATTTAAAAATAAACTCAATGAGACAGCATATAAAATGTGAAAAGAATAGTCAACTATGTATTGGCTACATCCCATGTCTCCCCTATGTTTTCCTGCACAAGTTTATGTGAACAATGCTTTTCAGGTTCATGTGGTGAAAGATACAACCCGTGGTGCCACCTTGGAAGTAGTAGTGAGCAGGATGAAGGCAGTTCAGACCTATAGAACCACACAAAAGTCTGAGGCAGGGCTCTCGATGAGATTTGTGGCTGTATCTGCCACTATTCCCAACATAGCTGATGTAGGTATCCAAGTTTTTATCTGCTGGCCCTGTATCTCTTGTGATTCACTGCAGCTTGTGGCTGATCCTTGACCTGCTCACCTTTTATTAGATAGCAGACTGGCTGTCCAATGAGAGCGGACCGGCCACATTTCTGAATATGGATGAGAGCCACAGACCTGTGAAGCTTCGGAAGGTCATACTAGGATTCCCTTGCAGCCAAAACCAATCAGAGTTCAAGTTTGACTTGTCACTCAACTACAGAATGGCCAACATCATACAGACCTATTCTGACCAGAAGCCTGCATTAGTGGTGGGTGGGAAAAATTTATTTAGTCTTTAGTTTCCTTTTGCTAAAGCAAAATCTGGAGTCTTTCGTTTTGTCCGATTATACAGAGCAACTCAGTTTGCATAGATGTAAATGGAAATAAAAAAGAATTCTCATCTTTTTATATGTTTGAATTGACAAGATAGTATTAGTATTAGTTTTTATATGTAGTTACACTTAATTTGATGTCAACAATTTAATTATTTGTGTAATTGTTTGAGTAGTTCTGCTCAACAAGGAAAGGAGTTCAACAGTCGGCTGCAGTTCTAGCCAAAGATGCCAATTTCATCATGAGCATTGAACACAAGCAGAGGTGTGCGGCTTTCTTGTCACAGGGATGGTTTCTTGAATGTGTCACTATCATTTTGGTGTGTTTTGCTAACAGTGCATTCAGCCAGCGTTATGACATCTGCTTCACTCTGCAGGTTGATGAAATATGCTAACACTATTCTGGATGCAAAACTAAGAGGTAATGTCCCTTGGAATTGTTTAAACTCCTTTATCACTTAAAATAAGATGAACCGTAAGACTCAAACTAGAGTACTGCTTTAGGGGCTAGATGGATTGGAATTTATATAGTTTAAGTATGTGTATGTGCCAATAGAAATACCAAAACACAGTTTTAACCTATGCAAAAAACTGCAGATTTAAGTTTAAGATAAGGTAGCACAGAACACTGACCTCAAGTTTATAACTGTTACATAATTAGCAATTCCGTTGTTGTCTGATGCATATTTATTTAAGTCCTAATCCACTGAGACAGCACGTAACTGATCATAAAACTTTGTGTTGTGCTTGCCATCCAGATCTGGTGATGTTAGGAGTTGGTTACCACCATGCTGGTGTGGACATGTCTGATAGGAAGCTGATAGAAGAGGCCTTCACACAGGGAGACCTTCCAGTTCTCTGTGAGGCCAAATCCAGAAATAAACATGTCTATCTAACTTAAGCACAACTTGCAACATCTGCTTAGGTATCATCATCGGTAGAAAGATTAGATATTGAGACTCATTTTGTTATGACATGTTAAAGATTCCTCTTGCACTAATTCTCAGTATTTAAAACTATCTTACTACATGTTGTAATAAGCCTGTTTTTGTATTATACCAGGGCTGAACTTGTGCTGTGTGGATTTTTCCTTTCCCAGTTACTACCAGGACTCTGGCTATGGGCGTAAATCTGCCAGCCCACCTGGTTGTGATCAAATCTACTATGCAGTATGTGACAGGCTCCTGTGAAGAGTACAGTGAAGCCGACATGCTTCAGATGATTGGCCGTGCAGGACGACCGCAGGTAAGAACGCAGTTCCTGCTGTACCTTTCCAGTAATTACTGTTTTTTGGTAAAGTTCAGGCTTGGACAAATAAGCTTCTCTCCACCCCTTTCATTCTCCCCTCCTCTAGTTTGACACATCAGCCACTGCAGTGATTATGACTAAGTTTCAAACCAGAGACAAATACTTGAAACTTATGAATGGGGTTGAAATCATTGAGAGCAGGTAGTGCTATAAGTGCTTTTTTAAACATTCCTCATATTCACTTCCTGTGTTTCTGTTTTGCTCAAACACAAAAATATACACTGAGAAGAGGTGCATGAATTAACCATGTAATGTGTCGTTAGCTTACATACACACCTTGTAGAGCACCTGAATGCCGAGATTGTTCTCCAAACCATTAGTGATGTCAACATGGCTCTAGACTGGATACGCTCCACTTTTCTCTACATCAGAGCCCTTAAGAACCCCACACACTATGGTGAGTGCTCCGAACTCAGATCAGATCCAAGAATCAAAGTCAGCATTTTGTGTCATTGTGAAAAATGCCAGTATTCCCTGGCTGCTCCTTTATTCCTTTACTCCATGGCCTTGTCTTTCTTTTTTAGGTTTTTCTGACAACTTGGACAGGTGTGGTATTGAAGCAAAACTTCAAGGTGGGGAAAAACTGCTCATTACTGCTTTATGAGTGCTGTTCTGAGGATACTCAGATATAAACTTGTAAAGATAGCTGGCAAACTGCTGAAACAATTCCGCTGTTGAAGTTTAATGTAGTTTATCCTGTCCCCCTCAGAGCTCTGTTTGAAGAACCTCAATGCTCTGTCTTCCATTGATTTGATCAGAATGGATGAGGATATCAATATCAAGCCAACAGGTAGAAGGCAGTTTGTGTAAATTGTTGACAATAAGACATTCTCAATTTTGGTTATTTCAGTTTTGTGAATCTATGTCAGCGGTTCTCATTCTGGAGCCATTAAGTTGCTCATCTTCTTTGCTCTTGACAGAGGCCGGCAGGTTGATGGCGAGATATTGCATTGCCTTTGATACCATGAGGCAGTTCAGCAAAGTGGCTGGCACTGAAACCGTGTCTGACTTGGTAGGCTTGATGTTTTTCACGACAGTGAAGGTATTGTGCTGTAGATTCTGTTAAGCTAAGAAAACTTCCTGGGACCAAATTAACACTGCTAAGATTCTTTACTAAAAATGTGTGTATGAATAATTTTCAGTATTGTAGGTACATTCCTTTTACTATTGAACTGAATTTAAATTAAGTCATTCTTATTAATAGCAGGTTTGTTATTGAGAACAAATTCAAGATGAAAAAGGGCCACAACCTTTATCAGGTATTCAAAAGTAGTACGTATAGATAAATCTATTCTCAAGGCTAATTGATAAATCTAAGTAAACCAAATAGGGATTACACTGAAAGCCACAAAGAAGAAGCAGCACAGTTTTACTGAATATGAAGATGACTTTTTGTCAGAAAGAGAACAAAAATTGCCAGTAAATAGTTAAATCAAAATTTCTCTGTAAAATCAGAAATCCATCCATCCATCCATTATCGTAACTGCTTCATCCCTAATAGGGTTGGCGGCGGACTGGAGCCTAATACAGTGGTTAGTGGGCAAGAGGCGGGGTACACCCTGGAAACCAGAACCCTCTGGCTGTGAGGCGATGGTGCTAACCACCACACCACCGTGCCGCCCAAAAATCAGTAATGAGAAACAAAATATCGAACAGCCAAAAAACACAAAAGCACAGACCTCACTTCAGGGTCAGACTGAGAGTCCAGAAACAGACTGGATATCTGCAACAGATTAACACACAATCCGTACACCCGACAGTTCTGCTTGGAGATGATCAGCAGGGAGTCACAGATGGACCTTGCTGTGTTATCTGTTTTTTTTTAACAGCCCAGTGAAACAACAATGGTGTGTCAGAAATTGAGACCTAGCTCCAAAGTCTCATCAGAGGTCTTCCTCAACACAACACACAGCGTGGTTATTCATACCACCCACAAGTAATTTAACTAAGTGAAAGTATTTTAAAAACTGGCAAATAGGAAAAAAATACTGGGGGAAAAAACAAGCTTACTGAGCTATGCTTGTGAAATTTTCTCTTTTGGTCTGAAGCGTTTGATTTTACCTAATCTTTACTTTATTGGGAAAATTGCATCAATTCAACTGAACAGCGTCTTAAATGGAAAAAGGTCTTTTAGACAGACTTCCGTCTTGCTTTTTAAAAAAATCAGATAGCACTGATCAAAGTCTTAAATTATATTTATCCAAACGTTGAAGCAGGTAAAACACAATTTTCTTTGGAATCCTTCATTGGTCAATTCTTGGGACACTATTGTTCAACCACTATATGTTTCCCTTGAGTTAGATCATACTAAACTGCAATGTTCCTTATCACAGATCACAACAAGCAGTTGACGCTTCGATCCATTTGGCTCTTTGGCCAAATTACTCTCTCTGTCTGTGTTAGCAGCTTGAATGCATAGGGCTCAAAACAAAAAATCTCAGGTTAAGCATCTTGGATTTTTAGTTGACTCAGACCTGAACTTTAGCAATCACGCTAAAGCCGCAACCTAGACAGCTTTTTACTACCAAAAACCAAGTCTCAGAGCTCATGTCCGGGCTGATTTAGAGAAGTAAATTAACACCTTCATATCTAGCATACTTGACTACTGTATTACTTTTTAAACTAGTCTTACCAAAAAGAGAATTAGACAGCTTTCACTGATTTGGGGCTCAGCATAAAGATTAATTTTGTTTCTTAAATCTCTCCTCTAGGGTCAGTAAAGTCTTCCTGTGCTTAAATAAATTAGGGACCTATTGTTTCAATGGTAAATATAAAGCAACTTTATTCAGATTCTACCTGTCTGCAGATTGAGCTGGTCTCAAAAAGCAAAGAGTTTATGGAAATTCAGCTGAGAGTGAATGAGAAGAGAGCCTTGAACACTTTGAACAAGGACAGGAACAGAACCACAATCAGGTGACACACATTTATGGGGATCAGTGCGTGCACATTGTCAGTGGACTTTGGCTAATTTTAACCATTTGATTGTCCAGATTTCCCCTCAGCGGAAAGATAAAAACCAGTGAAATGAAAGTGAATTGGTAGGCGAAGTGATGAAGCACATCTCTTTTAAATCACTGTTTTTACTTTGTACGAGATAATGCATTTTTTTCCCTCTTGCAGTTTGATTCAGGCCCATTTGGGTTCAATCCCACTTCAGGATTTTGGACTCACCCAGGACACAGTGAAGATCTTCAGGATTGGGATGCGGATCAGCCGATGTAATTCTAAGATAAAAAAAGAGTAAAAGAACATGCTTTGACCGCACTGTTTTAAAATTTGGAATGTGTTTTGTTTCTGTAAGGCTTGTCCGAGTTTCTGATTCAGCAATCGAAAACTGGTTTTTCTGCCGTGCTCAACTCCCTGATCCTGGCTAAGTGCTTTAGAGCCAAACTCTGGGAAAACTCGCCTTACGTTTCTAAACAGCTGGAAAAGATAGGTGGACATGTTACTTATACTTCGCAATATACCGTGCATATATATGTAGCTTTTATATATATTTGACTGCAGTACAAAAACAGAATTTTAGTAATTCTTGTCCATTTTTGGTTAATTCTACATTAACTAGAAGAAATAGATCTAATACATTTGTTTGCTCGGATGAATGTAGAGTTTGTGATCATTTTGTAGTAACACACTGTGTGTTTTTAGGTCAGACTCTGTCATCTGCAATGGTGAATGCCGGACTCAGCACTTTCAGCAAAATAGAGCAAACCAATGCCAGAGAGCTGGAGCTGGTCAGTGTGTCTAATGTTCCAAAAGAATTATTAAGATTTTGAGAGTTGCTCCCTGGAAAAGTCTACATGTGGCTCAGAGTGCATTTAGGACTCATCTAACACATCAACCTTTCTTTAGATTTTCTTTTGTGTAATTTTTTGATTGGACCTTTTCAGAACTCTGGAGAAAGTTATACAATCTTGTTGCTTGCTGCTTGTTGTCATTTTTACTGCCGCAATTTACCTGAATTTATTTCATTCTGGTGCTTTAAAATTATATAGTTAACATTCTGCTTCTTCCTGAATGTTGTCATTCAAAAAGGGCTGGATTTCACTTTGGCAAACTTTTTACCCTCGTGCAGATTGTCAACAGGCATCCACCATTTGGAAACCTAATCAGAGAATCTGTGATGCATCTTCCAAAGTATGATGTCACCCTGGAACAGGTAAGTGTCACTGCAAATATTTGTTTATATATGTTATATACCAATATTCAATTTATATTTTTCACACTTTTCTTTGTTTATTCCTCTCATTCCTTCATTTGTAAAAGTTTCTAATATTTGATGCGAAATCCCTTTTTTAAAAAAAAGAAAGTTAACCAGAATCATTCATTTAATATTAAGACATTTAAGGAACAGACAAAATCATGCCTACACTGATTAAGATGAATGGATCCTTTAAAACCTGGAAACTTGACACAAATTTTTGTTAAAGGAGTAATACATTAAGAGCACTGTAAAAAAAAACCTTTCATTATACCATTTCAAAATCAAATGAACCTGAACAGTTCTAATATCAGATGGAATTACTGAACCGATCAAGGGGGTCTGTTGTTTCCGCCCATCCTTTGAAGCTGCTTTTGTATTTTGTAGCTTCCAAGGTACAGCAGCGCCACCGCGGAGATCGTGGTTAAGGTGAATCTCAAAAACCAAGCGCAGCTGTTGTCCAGGAGAACAGCTCCAGACCACCACTATGTCTCTCTGATCATCGGCAGCTCTGACAATACTGTGATCTTTCTACAAAAAGTCACGTGAGAAAAAAAAAATTTGCAAATTTGTCCCAAGAATGATCTTCACTGACTTTGTGTCCTTTATTTGTTGTTTTTTTGCAATAAAGTCTTTTCAAATTGAAAAAGGCAGTTGGTGCAATGCAGAATCTGAGGGCATATGTTTTTATTTTGCAGGGATTTGTTGCTGCTGAAGACTGGTAGCTGGTCCAAAAAGATAGATGTGACAAATGCTTCAAAGGGAGATGAGATCAGTGTCCATCTCATCAGCTCAGAATACGGTGAATCATGAAAATACTCTATCATTATTGTGTAGAAATCACAAAAATAGGCTTCAGATTAAAACTAAATTCGGTTTGACTTTTTTTTTCAATTATGCGATAAGATAAAGTTAATCTGGGCGGCACGGTGGTGTGGTGGTTAGCACTGTTGCCTCCCAGCAAGAGGGTTCTGGGTTCGAATCCCGGGGAACCAGGACCTTTCTGGGTGGAGTTTGCATGTTCTCCCTGTGTCTGCGTGGGTTCTCTCCGGGTTCTCTGGCTTCCTCCCACAGTCCAAAAACCTGCATGTTAGGTTGATTGGAGATTGGGGAAATTGCCCTTAGGAGTGAATGTGAGTGTGAGTGGTTGTTTGTCCTTGTATGTCCTGTGTGTGGCCCTGCGATGGACTGGCGGACTGTCCAGGGTGTACCCTGCCTCTCGCCCGTTGACCACTGGGATAGGCTCCAGTTCCCCCCGCGACCCCATGAGGGAATAAGCGGTATTGATAATGGATGGATGGATGGATAAAGTTAATCTCCGCTCGATATGACACGTTTAAGACCAAATTTATATATTTAGATCTTTAATCTGAAATATCTTCTTATTAAATACAAATATTAATTTATTTTGAATTTCATAGCAGCAGCATGTCCAAAAAATTTTAAGACAGGGCCGTGTTTACCACTGAGCAGCACCCACTCCCATCTGGGAGTGAGTTACTTATACACCTCCATAACAACAGGTGTCTGAGGGACTGCTCGAGGGCTCAAAATTCACAGGGGGGCATTGATTTTCAGCAATGTTTTTATCCACGAAAAAGTTTTTTTTTTATTATATTGCATATTTTAAATGATTCATTGAAGTCTCAATTGTTTTGAAATCCTTCCTTCCGCTAAGAGACTACTGCCTTTCTAATTGGCTTTATATGGCCCAGATTTTTATTTACCTGCTGTCTTTTAAAATTCTCCTTCAATTGTTTTTCTTTTTGTTCTTCTTCATAAGCACCGCATTATTTATTTATTTCGTTTTTTAGATTGCTGATATCGTAAAAATTCAAGATGAGCTCATATTTTACACGAGGTCACAAAATATTGCTCAGTCAAAATTCTGCGTACATTAGATTGTGAACTGACTGACATTTGGAGATCTTTGCATTCTATTTCTGTTTGCATTTTACTTGGCAACCCAATTTGTTTCGAGTGTGCCTTGTAGTGTCTCGTAGAATTTGGAGATGTTATAAAGGAGATTGTGGCCTTTTCCCTCCCTACAGTGGGCCTGGACATCCATCAGAAATTTGTTGTGTACTTCTCTGCTGCAAAACAGTTTGGGGCTGGAAACTCTCACAGTACGACAGGACAGAGACCACAGCACTCTGTCCTGAAGCCACCATCCACGAAACAGTCTCCAACTCAGAGAGAACCTGTCTGTTCTCCTAAAGACCAAGGTAACATGTTTTTGCTTGCTACTCCAGATTTTGTTAAAACAATCTGAAATCTTTACACTGATGTTTTATTTCTTCAATATATACACATGATTTTGTTTTTGTATGTGTCTACAACCAGATCTTGGCAGTAAAAGAGAATGCAACCATTTCTGCAAGAATAAGAACCTTTGTGCCCATGAGTGTTGTAAGTCTTTCACTGTCACGTTTTAGAAATCCAGTATGTATCTGTGCACTAGTCCTCAAAATCATAATTTTCTTTCAGTTAATTGGAGTATTTGCATCTTCTTCACAGGTAAAGTGGGTGTGACAGTAGTGAAAAGGCGGTCAGCAAACCCAGAATCCAATTTCTCCTCCTATTTAAACGACCTAAGAAACAGGAGTGACGCCCTCATACAGACACCCGCCAAACGACTCAAGGTGAGCAAAGACACAGACAACTTTAAGAAAGAACCAAAACGTACCTGAGACACAGTTACACAAAAAAAAAAACGAAATATCAGATGACATGGAGTGGAGAAGATCCCACTTACATTTATTTACAGTAACTAGAACAATAGACACCGGCCGAACCAAAATATCTAAAAGCTAAACTTGAACATTAAAACTACTAAGGAGTTCCAACATTCCAGACCAAATAAAATTGACTGTTGAAACCAGGGACCAAAGAACCAGTGATGGAGATGGTTTTGACACCGGTGAGGAATTGAAATAAAGCATGGGGCTTAAATACAGATTACTAAGGCAGCAGCTGAGGATAATAAGTGCAGGTGAAGGGAGTAGATAGCCAGATAGGAAGGTAACAGAGGAAACTGGATAAGAATGACCAGAATCTAAATACAAAACAGAAGGAAAGGAAAACAAATAAGAACATAGAAGCAAAGAAAAAACACTAGAAACACGGAAGGCTAAAACTGCACAAAAATACAAAACTTCTGGAAACCTCAAAAACTGAAAAACAGAACCTAACATAAAAAATTCCAAACCCAATGACCCAAAGGTTTATGAGTCACCGAAAGGTTTCCATCAATAAAATTATACAAAGACTGACTTATCGAATTATTATGCTAAAATCCTTCTACCCATAACTCAAAATGTATTTTTACAATTGTACTCTCTATATTATATATGAATTGTTGTATTTTTCCTGTATATAGTATAAAGTATGTGGAAATATTACCATTTTTAATAATAAGTCTGTTTTTACTAACTCCTCAGATGAAGATGAGTGAGGAGTCTTTGCCTGTCAAATTACAGGAGTTTACTTACAAACCCAAAGCGATGCTTCCACCTGTTTCCTGGTAATTACACATCCATGCTTAAAAATAGGAGAAACCAGTTTCTTTTCACAAACCATTTTAAATTTCTCCACTTACACTTATGTTTTATTTTATTTGAAGGCAAGGAAGGAATCAGTGTAACACTTCAGAGGCTCAAAACTTTGCTCAACTCCCAGACACAGTTTGCATGAATGATTTTGACACAGGTAAAGTAGTGGAATCAGCATTGTTTACTTTAAATTCTTTGTTCCTAATTCTTAAAAGCTGGAAAAGTTACATTAACTTAATATATTCCAGATTTCGATATCTACGAAGAAGACGTGCCGGAGATGGTGGAACAGGCCCCCCAAATCTATGCTGCACCACCTGTTCATGATCAAAGTACTATTATTTAACTTTAAAAAGTCACACATTCTAATATATTGTTGAGGTCATCATTAGAATGATTAAAGCATCCATTCACTTTGGACTTATTTCAGTATGGTTATACAACCACACATCATGTATTTCCACTTAATAGTTGTGATAATTTTTCTGCCCACTGTGTGGTCTTCTCAAGCACATCCTAAATATTCCCTGTGGTTTTATGAATTTGACTCTGGGAATGATGTCTTGTGCTCCCTTATAGCCATTTGTCTTCAATTTGAGTAATACGAATCTTACAATTGCCATTTATTCAGGATATACAAATTGTCAGGTTGCTATTTTCTGTTGCTGAACATACACTAGACCAACTAGGGCAAACCCATGTCGTAAGGCTACCTCAGTAGGCTTGCACAACAGAGAATATAATTGATGGGAGCAGCATAAAGTATTCTTTTAGGTTTTAATAATGCGTTGGGCAGTATTTTCAATCCAGTTTTAATAACTTTAACTGTCTTCTTTAATATTTAGTCTGCATGTTGGTGATGCGCCTTTGACTTTTATCTCTTCATGAAAAATTACACCTCTGCTACTTTGATGTAACAACTGACACACATATTTTGGACCGTTTATAATATAGTTTGCATGAATAGATTGAAAACTGAATAAAAAATAACAATAAATGCATACAGCACAGTCACTTTTTTTTATGTGCAGGTTCCTCCATATGGGAGATCCAAGAAACAAATGGTCGTCGCCGTAGTTCTATGGGTGATCAGAGCCACAGGGATACAAGAGGCTCGGCTTACGGCAGGGTGTCCACAGCGTCAAAGCAAGGAGCTTTCATTGGAGAAGCTTCAACTCTCCAATTCCCAACTGTCAGCTTTGATCTTGGAAATGAATGGGATGACTTTGATGATGAGAACTTGCTGCACGCAAGTGAGATCTCATTATCCCCGAGTGGAACTAATGCTGAACCTCAGATCCCGCAGAGTGGTGAATGCTGCGTGTCAGGTGGGGTGAAATTTTGTGAAACCTTTTGATGAATGTCCATTAGTTGTGACATGCATTCATCTCTTGCTGTTGTGCAGGCTATGCTTCTTCATCAGCACTAACACACATCAGTCGCTTACAAGCTAAACCCTGGACGAAACACGCGACTACACCACTGAGGTGAGGCTGAAAACCGAAATGCCTCACCACATCTGAAATGTTAAAATGTAATACTAAAGCATCACAGTGTTCTTTTTAACACAACCACATCTGTTAAATTGTTTGTGAATTAGGTCGATTTCAGCTGGAAATTCTGAATTCAGGAAACTTGGCCCTTCTCCAGTCAGCCAGGCACTCACGCCACAAAAGAGAATCACACTCGACTGGAATAAAAAGGTTGGACTGTTTGTTTGTGTTACTTTCTTTCTTGGTAGCGTCTGATTTGCAGATTAAAGTATAATAAAATCTGCTCATAGTTATTTTTATTCTAAAGGTTTTTTGTTTGTTTTTGTTGCTGTCATATGCCTCATTGTTGACCCACCTATAAGTAATTTTCTTCTGTTATTTTACTTTTTGTGCAGAGGCCAGATGTTTTCAGTGAAAATATCACTGCAAAATTACAAGATAATCTCCCTAAGCAGCCACATAAGGCAGAGGCAAGCAGAAAGTTGGATTTCTTCCACACAATGAGTACAAGCTCAACCAGCCAGAGGTAGAGGAAAATAATATTGCTAATTGTGCTCATTTTAATGCGTTTATTTGTATTTGAATTAATCTACCAAAGTGTACTCTTTTGTTGCATAATCATTATAAACCTTTTCCCTTTTTTCTCATTGTTTCTTCATCAGCAGCAGAGAGGAAGAAGCTTTCCTTGGCATATTTGATGGCATATTTTAAGATCTCAGGCCTTCATCTGACTAGAAAGTTATCAAAGTTCTGTGCTTAAGTTTTGTTTTCTCTTTCCTTACACCTGTTCGAGTAGAATACTAAACCGTTTTTAATATAGATTTATTTTAACCCTGTAGACTATGTTTTAAATTTTTGTTATTGTTTGTCCATATACCAAATGCGTTACGGTGTTTATTTAGTGCAAGTTTTATTTATATGCCTATTTTATAAATTTTTGTGTTTATTTGGTGATTAGTTGCAGGTTTTGGGGAGTTGTTAATACTGTAATAGCTGTTATAGCATACATGTTGCATTAGTAAAGTGTGTCACTGGATACAGCAACACTCAAGTACACAATGTTCTGTAAAGTAACTTAGTGAATTAATTGAGAATATCAAAACATTATCTGTTGCTTTTAACCGCTATTTATTTGTACTTGTTTAGTTTAATGGAAAATAAAATGTTTAACACATGCGTCGTTGTAAGTCAAAATTCAAAACAACCGTTTCAACACTGATTAACAATCCGAGACAAAAACAACTAAATCTGATCAGAAACACTTTTTCTGATCCAACACATATGTTCTCTGCTGTTCTCTCGCAGCCAGTCACGTGTGGCGCCTTTTCCCTCTGTGATTGGTAGAGGCAGGTAATTTTGCTGATCACGTGACTATACCGCTTCAACGCGAGAGCCTCCTCAATTTTAGCGCGTAGTTTGTTGGCGGAAAAGAATCCGTAAACCTGGAGTCATTTTATTGCTTCAACCTGGAAGGTACTCACACGTATAGTATTTAACTACCAGATAAACAGCTTCTTGACTATATGGCGAATGTTTGAGGCGTACATTTGCGAAACTATTATACTTTGTTACCAACTGAAGCGGTAAGTTTCTTGTTTTGTGTAACAGTGCAGTTAGTTAGCTTCACGGACTGTAGCTATAACAAACTGTTGCATACTAGTTTAGCGTTATTGAGAAAGATGAAAAGCACTAAATGTGTACCTTCCCTTTGACATACCGCTATGACCATTTTATCAGATGTTTCTTACATTAATATTTTTCGTGGCACTTTTGCTATAGTCTAATTACTTTTAATTTGCCAGTTTGACTGGCAAGCATTGAAATAGTTGCTATTGAACATTCATACATTGAGTATTCAACATTTCCTTTAAGGTTTGCTGAGGATTTTTCTTGTTTTATAGATGGAGTTAACTCCTGTCTGCGACGAGGGTGTCAGTGCAGATGGATGTACGATGACATCTGCCAGAGCAAAGAGGAAAAGCAAAGTCACAAGTGAGTTGAGTGCTCTCTTATTCTATCAATGAAGAAAGAAATATTTCTTTTACATGTAGAAACACACCAACTTATTTTAGCATAGGAAGTATTAAAAAAAGTAAAATGCCATGAGCTTCCACACAGTTATTGAGTGGGTAGTTATTTTAGCTTGAGGTTATGTGAAAGCATGTCCATGGATTTATTTTTTTATTAAACTGTGATAACATTTTTAATTTGAATCTACAGGGGATGTGGAGTTGGATATTGAGCTCCTTTACAAAGCTGTACCTCAGCTAAATGAGTACTTCTGCATCATCAACAAAATTGGAGAAGGTATTTGGGTTTCTGTTTTTGATTGTTTCAGATCCAATAACTTGTCACTTGCTCACCTCTTTTAATTGTACTCAAACTGAGGAATTAAATGTGTCACTGTGTATCAGGGACGTTCAGCTCAGTGTATTTGGGTGAGGCGCAGATGCGGGACGGGAGGAGAGAGATGTTTGCTCTCAAGCACCTCATCCCCACCAGCCATCCTACTCGCATTGCTGCTGAGCTTCAGTGCCTCACTGTGGCGGGGTGAGTTCAACACTTTAATATTGATTTGTTTGTAATTTGGCACAATACTTCTTGAAATTATGCGCAAAGTGATGTTTGAACAACATTAAATGGCGTTTATGTGCGTGTTTCTGAAGCAAATTAGGTTATGGAGACAGTAGCGAAAGTGCCCATCATCTCATGTCATGTTTTCTTCATGCAGAGGCAGAGAAAATGTGATTGGAGTGACATACTGCTTCAGGAAAGAAGACCATGTTGTGATTGTAATGCCCTACATGAAGCATCAGGCTATTGTGGTATTTATTCTAACCATATTATTTATTAATTTACTTACTTTTCTAACTGTTAATGTGCCTGATTTTCTTATGAGCTGTATATTTCTGTTCACTGAAAACTAAAGTAAATATTTTATTTAACCCCAAAATCTTTCATCAGGACATCATTGGATCATTAAGTTTTGAAGAGGTCCGTCTGTACATTTACCAGTTGTTAAAAGCCCTAAAACACATCCACCAGTTCGGAATCATTCATCGGGACATCAAACCAAACAATTTCCTCTACAACAGGGACAGCAAAACGTGAGCGTTTACTTCGGATGTGTGTTTTGTTTTTGTTTTTTTGTCATTAACATTTCTGACACAGCTGTGATGATTTTAAGGAGAATGCAAAGCTCATCTCCACTGATTCATTTCTTACTCGTTCCCCTTCTTTTAACAAAAGTATTTCTTTCTGTTGTGTTGGGAAAAAAGAGCACACAAAAGGTTGAGTGTGTTGGCAGCTTTTAGCTTGTTATTTACCTCACCGATGTCTGTCTTGTTTGTCGGAGGTAGGTATGCCCTGGTGGACTTTGGCCTGGCTCAGGGAACAGCCGACACCAAGATCGAGCTGCTGAAGGTGGTTAGACAGAGGCTGTCGCAGAAAGGTGGAGGGTCCACTGTCAAACAAGAAGCTGCACAGCGGGGCAAAGCACCACCTAGGCTCGTACCCAAAACCACCAGCACTGCACCGACACCTCTGTCTCTGCCTCCACGGCAATCGGTGCCGCCTTCCTCCTCGTCTTCCTCCAACACCCCCACTTCTTCCTCGGCCTGCCGGAAAGCGCTGGTCAAGAAAGCACGTGCAGTGTCCGCCACTTCCTATTCTCTCACTGAGCACCCCAAGGTGTCTGCACAGATTCCTCCTTTTCTTTTATTTTCCATTTTCTTTTTGTCTTTTCTTTTTCTTACAAAGATTACAGCTCACACAATTATGTTGAATGATCCGCTCAACTGCCTGTAACATCTGTGGTCGGCTTCCCTGTCTTAATGTGTGTGGCTCTGTTTGCTTGATTTAGGATTTGACAGGACTACGCAAAGTTCAACGGCCAGTGTTTGGAGAGAGAAATCTCAACAGCTGCACGCCTGCTCCCTCCGCCACTAAGCTATCTGTCTGTAAAAAGGAGGTGAGCCAGCTCATTATAAGACAGACAAGAACACAAAAAGAGGTCTGCTATTTAAAAAAACTGAAGTCTGGAACTATGCTTTTATGTTAACTGACTTAAATGCAGAACATTAAAGACTTTCTAATCTTGTTTTGGGAGCAAGAGTTTTTCAGCTTCTTTTCACACTTTTTTATTTTCAACATCACAAGCTGGTCAAGCTCAGCAAAACGGAGAATCCGGCCAGCAGAAGGCCCCCTCCGGCCACCTGGAACCCGCTGCCTGTAAAGACCCAGACCGGCGTTCAGAAACCTCAGAAGACCGTACAGCAAGGCTTGACGTGTAACTGCCACTTCACTGACCGGGTCTGCAACATCTGCATGGCAAGGTAAAAAAAAACAGAAAAAAGCCCATCACACTCCACAGTAAAATGATCTCATTTGCTTTTTGTATTCTTCAAATAACGATTTAGTCTCTTTTCATTGTTTTTGTTTGTTTGTTTTTAATGAAGAAAGCAACAGGTAGCTCCCAGGGCTGGAACACCGGGTTTCAGAGCACCAGAAGTCCTCACAAAGTGTCCCGACCAAGGCACAGGTTGGTATCGGACATAACAATTGAAAACGGTTATCCTATCATGCGATAGAACAACAAATCCAAAGAATGTGTGTGTTCAAGACTTTCCAACTCCCAAAAAAAGCAGATGTGTCATTTAGGTTAAAAACAAAAGAAAGAAAGCAAATATTTGCTCCTGAGTGTGGCTTGCTCTCATTAACGTACCCTCTGTCTCTGGCTCGTTGTCTTGCAGCCATAGATGTGTGGTCAGCTGGCGTTATCCTGCTCTCACTGCTCAGTGGCCGCTACCCGTTCTTCAAAGCCAGCGATGACCTGATCGCTCTCGCTCAGATCATGACCGTACGAGGTTCCAGGGAGACCATCCAGGCTGCTAAGGCATTCGGTACGTTGGAGTATTTTTTTCCGGTAACCTAACTGTGCTCTCCAAGTTGTGACCTATCCAACCGGATTTTAGATATCGCTAACAGTGAGCTTGTTTTGTGGGCTGAACCTCATTCAGGTAAAGCAGTGGTGTCCAGTCGGGAGCTTCCTCGCCAGGACCTCAGGACGTTGTGCGAGACGCTCAGAGGAAGAAAACCCTCGCTGGATGACAAAATAATCCTGTCTCCTGAAGACCGCAGAGACTTGGCAGCCCCTCCTCAAAAAAGCCAGAGCGACGTCTCCGCACACAGAGACGGAGCAGACCCGGAGCACTCGATTAGCAAAGAAACTGCAGCTCGCTTCTCCAACCAGACGGTGAGTGTAGAGGAAGACGAGCGCGGCTGGGACCGAGTCCCCGACGAGGCCTACGGCCTGCTGGATCGGCTACTGGACCTGAACCCGTCCACTAGGATCACAGCCGCCCAGGCACTGCAGCACCCGCTCTTCAAGGACCTGTGAAAGCTCGTGTCACACGAGCATGTGTACGGCTTCAGAAGCAGGACCGTGAAGCTCTGCAATTCAAACTCTGTTAAACAGAAATGATTTCTCAAACCCCTAACCCCACCGACTGCCTCTAAAACCAGTTTTCATGGCAGCATCTGGGAAAATTTGAATTTTTAAAGAGCCATAGTATTTACTAGAAATAGAGATTTTTTGCTGTCTTTGGCTGGAATGTTCCAAAGTTTTAATTGACTGTTTATATAAATTCCATGTGTGTGAGTCTCTGTTCGAATTGTATTTATTAACACTCAGTACTACATTGTCATTTCCTATTTTTATAATAAATAAAAAGGACAAATGTTTGGTTGTCATTGAGCTTTGACATTCATGCTTTTCACAACATTTAAGATAAGTGATATTTATTTTGACACTTAAATACATATATGTTGGGTTAAATAGGTTAAATGACATACTGGGAAAAAAATTTAAATGTATGTGTACACTAACAGTAGAAAAATACACTATTTAATATCTGAAAAAATTAAAAGTATTAAATATTAAAACGGACGTGTTAATCTTTTAGTGATAATAAAATTACTGACACCTGAGATAACCAATTCACTTTTTCTGTTTATTCAAGTTAAGCATATCAGATTACCTTAAACCCAGTACAGTTTGCTTACGGGGCAAAAATATTTCACTTGTTAATAGTACAAGTGCAAACAATTAGAATCGGTGTACAAAACTTTAACAAGTTATTGCACAAGCAGTACAAAATTCCAAAATATTGTATTCAATATTTACATTGTAAGGAATCCTTTAAACCTGAAAAGACAGAGGAAAATAAGAGCATAGTCTGATTGAATGCGTCAATCTACACAATGATGCACAATCTCTCTCTCCCAGGCCCTCAAAGGAGTCAGTTCTTTTGTAGTTTATAGAACGTCTTTCACTTCGATGATTTCCTCTATTCGCACCAAAACGCTCTCGATCATGTCGAACGTGTGGAGGGCTGAGTGCAGAGCCTAAAGGGGAGTCATTAACATTCAGTTAGATCATCGCAGCACTCTAATTGCACACAATGGGGTTTGTCATGAATATGAAACAGAGTCTGACCTGAATCTGGGACTCTGACGTCATGTTTGGCAACTGCTCGTCGCCAACTGACACAGAAAGGATCGATTCTGTGGGAGAAAAAAAAAAAAAAAACTTTAGGAAAAGCATCCCCAGAAAACTGTTGATCCATTTGAAAAAGATGCCATGTCACCTTTGGCCTTGCTCTTCTTGGTGTCTGTGGTGTTGTGCAGTTCCCTCTCATAATGGGCTCTCGACATGTTCAGCCCAACACGCAGAGGCTTCATGAATGAATCCTCTATCTTATACAGCTCTGTCCAGATGCCCGTCTACAGGATGAGCAGTGGGATAAAAACAAGTTTCATGGATGAACTATGAACCCGGGAATGAATGCTTCTCAGCCGTTTCTGGAATTTTTCCACAGTCACTCTGCTCACCTGGTTCTCGGTTATTTTGTCTCTGATGACCAGGTAGCGCAGCAGGTTCAAAGACTCCATGACTCTGTGGAAAAATGCACAAATATGCTATTATGCACAATGATACTTTATTTTCTAGGACTTTAAATAATGGAAAACCACTCCGTTACATCCATATAGGCAGTCATATGAAACGGAGTGCCCATCTTCTTCTGGTTCTGCGTTTTTAGGTACCACAGCAACACAACAGAAAATGTAAGTTGGTCAGATCTTAAAACGGCATATTAAGTATTGTGAACAAAAGTATCCCCAATGATTCAATAGCCAGATGACCCCTTCCCCCCCCCCGATTAACAGAAACTTTCTGTGTGATGTTATTAGTCTGAATGAATTTTGACCCACTTTTCATTGAATCACCAACTCACTTTAGTCAAATTTATGGGCGGGTTGAGGCCTGGACTTTTGGACATTACAGTGATTTCTCTTTTTCCAGACCTGTTGCAGACTTGCTGCTGTGTTTAGGGCCATTATCCTGTTGATGAGGCAGTTTCAGCCACAGATGGCCTCACAGTCAACTCTAATGTGCTTTGGTACACAGACAGATAGATGAATCCACTTGGTCTCCTCTGTAAAAGTGCTACCGTTTAGGGTTTTTTTTTTTGGGACACAGCTTGGCATAGCCCAGCTGCTGCAATGATCTTTTTAGAAAGAGGTGGCTTAGGCCAGCTTGTTGTTAAACTAAGCTAATGTTCTCTGACTCTGCAAACCATCCATTATCGTAACCGTTTATTCCCTAAAGGGGGACTAATTATTGATATAATTAGAATTATATGACTATATGTATCCTTTAATAAGTAGAATTTAAAAATGGAGGCACAGCAACATTTGTTACAGTTAGCATAACGCTTGGTAATCGTGTTTGACTAGCATCAGCTGACTGAAATTGAACAAGGACAGGGCCCAGGTGAGGTTCTAGGTCTGGCCAAACAAGCATTAGATCCTCCAGTGTGCAGATTTACACATAATAATAACCCTTTTGGTTAATTTAGCCTTATAGATTAAATGACCAAGCAAAGTTGCCCCTGTCAAAAAGAATAATGGACATCCTGAAGCCCCAAACATTTTATTCCCCTCTTTTTCTTCCTTCACCCATTTGAGAACTGTGTGCAGGTTTGATGTGTGCTGCAGTGGGCGGGGCTTTTTAGGAGTTCAAAGGCCGAGTTTCTTGTTTAGTATGAAACGGAAACAATAGCAAATATCTCCCTTGTCGTGGAGTACGTAACAGCCTCATAGGGTGAAATGCGTATGCTTATTTTGCAGGGAAAAATTGGAGATGATACGGGGTTTGCCCATACCTGTCCAGGTACTGCAGGAGGTCAGTTTCTGGGCCATCTGGTAGACTGAAGACCTTACGTAGCAGAGGCAGCAGGTGAACCCCTTCGAACCAGATGTTAGCCTTACCTGGCTGACGAGAGAAACAACGCTGCCATTTAGCCTTTACTTACTCCGCCAAAGCCTTCGGAAAATGGCAGAAAGGAAAAGAAAATCAAAGATTAAAACTTCGCCTTACCTGTAAGGCAAAGTCGATTTGATTCCTGATGTTTTTAATGATGTACCCTTCCACTCCCGAGTGGTTACTCGTCCTGAGCATGTACCTGAGAAGAGATGACAGACCAACAGAAGTTACACTGACAAGTGTAAACAGAGAGATCCGTTTCTCTGAGAGGAGCACAGGAGGAGCTTACTGGAAGAACCTGTACTTTGCTTCTGTGTCAAACTTATCAATGCTCAGCTGGAACACCCTCAGTCCTTTAGTCCTCTAAGAACAGAAAAATACAACGTAAATAAAGTGTTCCTAGAAAAGAGTGAAGACTTCACATCAGTATAAATTTTGGTGCATCAAAACTCACCAAGTCATGCTTGGGGCACAGTGTCATTACCTTTACCAAGTTCTGAAAACAAACACCGGTATCAGTTACACAGTAATGGATGCATAGCTTTGTAAGAGGTAAATAACTGTACGGAACCTGAGGGACGGTGAGGAAGGTTTTAATATCCAGCAGAGCTGCTGGCAGATCCCCATCGTCTACCCGTACCAGGCTCTTCTCGTAGAGGTCCTGTAGGATTGCGGAGGCACACCATCAGTCATATAAGTTGTTGCACTAGTACACGCAGCACAGAAAAAAAAAACACTCCAGCAGTTTCAAATAAAAAGTTTATCCAAAGTGCTGGATTGAGATTTGATATCTCTCAGTGGTATAAATATCAAAACAACAACCTTTGAAAAAGGTGGAAAACAGAATATTCTATATTCTATATTATAAATTTGTTTTATATGAATGAAAATTAGTTTTGTAACATGGCTGGGACACTACAAAGGAGAAGTAAAGTTCAAAGTAAAATTCAACTGAAATTTTACACTTATGAACTTCTAGTTTCCACTTCATACTTAAATCATCTGAATATAAAATTGCAGACTTCAGCATGAAAACAAAGAAGAAGAAGCCCAGTTTTCCAGAATTTGGAAATTAAACATTGATCTATGACACTTTTTTTTGCATAAAATCATTTTTGGGTGGTTTAAATCTAAGAATGAAGCTCAAAATCGATATGGTCATAAGGCTGATGCACTTGAATGTGCAGAATGCCGCTCATGATTTTTGAGACCAATGGGTCCACCAAGAGTTTGGAAACACCATCCTAATTTGCAGAAATGTGGAACAAAGGAGAAATGGTGAAAAACTTACCAGACCTTTCTGAACCATAAAGTCCTCAGTTCTAACAAAGGGAAAAAAACATGGGGTTTAAATCAAAATCACAACATACACTTTAAAACATCAAAAGTGGCGATTCAACTGGCTTTGAATTACCAAGTAATGAAGGAATACGTCAAATTATCACCAAAATATGGAATTCGGCTTTATATAAAATATGCAGTTTTACATAATCAGTTTTACTGAAGATTTTCAGTACAAAGAGACATCAAATTTGTAATAACAATAATGACAATAATAACAATGACAACAATGTGTCACATGTTACCTTGACATGAGGAGGGAGGCGTGCTCCATGTTGGTCCGAAGACAGAACACAGGGCTGTCGAGAGGTCATACAGAACGTTAACGAAGCATTTAAATGCATTGTAACAGAAACAGAGACTCCTCTTCTAACTAACCTGAAAATACTGGGGAACGTGTCGGCAGCCAGGTGATGCACAAACACCAGGTGAGCCAAGCTGGCCAAAGACTTTTTAGGGTAACGGACCTCCTCTTCCAGAAAGCCCGGGACCTGTTTCCTCTTCAATAGAGGTTGGAAAATTAGACTGGACACGGGCTCTCCAATAGCACTCAGGGTGTTCTGTACAACAAACATACGGAATCACAATGAATACTTCTAAAAGTGACCAATGTGTAAAATTCATATTCCAGTGCAAAATATGGTGATGGAATTTTTTTTTTTTTCCCCAACCAGAATCTCTATGGCAAAAGTCCTGAGGGGAGACTGGGGCAGCGTGTCGGGATCCTTGAGCTGCACCTCCAACAGTGGGTAGCTCAGAGTCTTCATACAGCTGTGGAGCAGAATGAAAAATAAATGACTACAGCGTCTCACTATGTTGAATGTTAGAGAACACGCAGAAGACATCTCAGATTTTTCACCCACTACTTCAGGAGCTCTGTCCGCAGCTCGTTTTCTTTAGCGCCCTCCTGTTGGCTCGCCGTCCCGTTCGGGCTCGCGCCCCTGGTCTCACCACTCGGGATGTTTTGCCCGGCCTCCTGGACGAAGGGTCTGACGAAGTCAGTCAGGTCGCTGCAGCAGCGGCAGAGGGAGAAGACGTCGTCCTCCTCTTGCTCCTTGGTATGTGGGACGGGCAGCTTGGCCATCTGGTCCAAGATGGAGGACAGGGTCATCCCCAAGGAGGAGGCCTTACGGTGGCCCAGGCACAGCAGCACTGGGAGGACAAAGGAGGAGACATTGAAGGAGCGGCTGTACTAATGTGCACTGGATAGATTGATTAAAAAATGTATTTTGCCTTTCTGTAGAGGGTTCAGCAACAAATGGAGACTCTCAGCCACAGTGTCAGGGTCATCATGCTCCAGTTGTTCCAACAGGCCAATCAACAGCTCTTTAGGTCTGCAGGTCTGCAAAACCATATATCCCAATTATTATTCTGCATCTCATCAGAATTAGAAAAAGCTTTATTGGAAGGAATTTGTTTTGGCGGGGTTGTTGCATGACTGATATCTCTCAATGTGAATATAATAACTAGAAAACTGTATAAATCCATCTTCCATTTATCCCTCTATTTTCGTAACCACTTATTCCATAATGTGGTCAGGGGCTGGAGCCTAACCCAGTAGTCAATGGGCGAGAGGCGGGGTACGCCAGTCCATTGCAGCGGCACACAGAGACACACAAGGACCAACAACCACACACACTCACACCCCTAAGGGCAATTTGGAATGTCCAATCAACCTAAACTGCATAAATGTAACTATAAATATATATACAGAGTCATTTGAAGTGAGTCAAGTAAAATGAATGGCGAGCGGTACGATAAAGTGGAGGTGATCACAGTGTGCAAAGTAATTCTAATGCAAATATAAACAGAAGTCAGAGCATTAATGTAACACATCGAGTCATTAGCTGTGGATCAGTTGTGTGCTTCAGAATAGCAGACCTCTAACAAGTGGTTAAAAATGGCCAGGCACTGTGGAAGATTCTTGTGTTCCTTCTTCAGCAGCACTTGGATCAGTGGAGGGAGCAGGTTCCAGCCCATGCATCTCACTATGTCCTGGGAAGACAGAGGAATGTGAGGCTGCTGCTGCTGCATCGTGAGCAGCGGGGGAAAAAAGGCATCTCTACTAAGAAATGTACCCGATTCTTCTCGTCTAGGACGAGACTGAGGACCTGCGCGCTGTTTCCCTCTTCGATGCATGTCCGCCCAGCGATGGTGAAGCCGTCATGATCCTCTGTGCTGTAACGATCGTCTGCGACACCTTGCTGTGGGCCAGAGAAACAAATGAAGCGGTGAAGAAAAAACATCAATTAGGGATGAGGAAAAAAAAAAATCATGGATAAAAGAAAAGCTTTTGTGACCAGTTTTATTTGTAAATGAACAGGTCACTGTTATCTGTCAATGTCACCAATAAATTCTTTTTAAATGGTTTTTATATAATGTAGCATCATGCTGAAATTCACCACCCAAAACTATTGTAAAGTTATCCTTTAAAATTTTCATAAAATATATTTCCTGATGATAATTTAATGGTAAAATATTTGATTCTATTCAATTAATTTAACTGTGATTTCAATTATTATCTGTACATTCACAGGCCATCTTTAGGGTTTGGGGGAGATAAAAAGCTAATCTAGTGCTGGTAACAGCAATCCAAATTTAGGAGAAATGCATTGATCATTTCACTGATGTACGACACCACTATTGCTCTTTGCAGTAGTTTTACACTTTTTTTGGAATTACTCATTTTTGTCGTTTTTCAAACGGAATCTTTGTCTATTCCTGTTCAATTTGAGCTGTTAAACTGTCACTGGTGTTGATTGAATCTCCACTCGGGCAGGTCAGTCCAGCATAGACATTCCCATGTTTTGAAGTCACCCAAAGCAGTGGCTTTACCCAAAAATCCAAAATCATGCCTTTGGCACATCCAGTATCCCAGTATCCATTTTTCCTATTTCAAGCTGACCCAGGGAGCATTTGTTTCCTGTCCCACATCATCATCAGATGTGTCTGACCATTGAAATGAGATCTCAATGGTCAAACACATCTGAAAATGGTTTCTGGCCTTTGTCTTTTATGTTGCAAGACAAAAGACCTTTACAATCTTCCATTGACATTTTTTTCTGAAACTGATCAATTATATTCTCAGAGAGTTTACCTTAAATTGGTGAGCCAGGATAATTATCAGAAATGTACACCTGTGTTCCCTCACTTGGGCTTAATGTATTTTAAATCCTCCAGGCAGATTGAAGGAGAAGCATTTTTAGCTCGGTTGGGGAAATAATGCATTTTTGCCTAAGTTAGTTCATTCAAAACTACTAGTTAAGGGGTGTTGTGTCTTATGACTCTGACAGAGCGGTAAAATAATACACAAGAAATCAGAATACAATTTCCCAGAAAAAAACGTCAGATGAGAGGCTACACAACAGATGTTGGTATCAAATACAGTAAACATTTATATGGATTAAAACAGTGTCAGAAACACGACTCACACATCTCTGTATCACATCACTGAGCTGCTCCAGAGCCATTCCTGCTGTCATTTGGGCTGTCTCGACAAAAGCAGAGGAGCTCCAAATAGTGCACACAAGACTAGATGATAACCCAACTGATTCTGTGTCCAAGGGTTTAGTTCAAATGAGCTTCAGGTGGACACTTAAACCTAAATGAAGCAGCAGACAGAAATTATGCTAGTACTAATTAGCTAGACTGAACAGTGAACTTTCCTCTAACTTAAACGAAAGTTACCATAAAAAACAATTGTATCGGCATAAGGAACAGACGGACGAGAGCGGCTCTAAAGATGGTCACATTAATAAATCTCATGCCCAAAACACACCCGGTAAAATTCCCACTCCACGCTACGCTACTAAAGCGCGGCCAGATTGGCCGTCCCGGCTGCCGTAGAAAGAAAGAACTACGTCACCGGTCAAAGTTGAGCCTCTTGAAAACACAAACAGCATGGAGACCGGGGAAGTCAAGATAAGCGGAGGCTCCGGCAAAACCTCTAAAAAGGGTCTGTTTTCGGTCAGAATTCGCCTGGTAGTAGTCCAATGTTCAAACCCATTTAACATGTGTCCGCTAACGGATCGCCTATGTGTTTGTTTGATATATGGGTAATACAATGCACGGTATTAAAGATTTTTTCTCTGTGGGAGGCATTTCACAGGGTCTTTCCTTAACTTTCCAACTGGGGTGTGTTGTGTTTGACAGGTGGGAAACGAATTAAACAACCTACGGCCGAAGAAGAAGCAAGACGGTGTGTGAAACGGTCAAACTTGTTCACTGTTTAAGACACTTCATAGAAGTCGTGTTTGGGGAGTAGAATAAAAGCCAACATTTCACTCACATGTATTTTTTGACCATGTCTCAGGAGAGAGGAGTTGAAGGAGAAGCTGAGGGAGAAGTTTGAGCTGGAGAGAAGAGCTGTGAAGGTGGTGGAGCGTCTCCTGGAGGACAGTGTGACTGAAGACTTCCTGCTTGACTGTGTATGTATCTGTGATATGTTTTTCAAAAGATCAGAACTGTGTACACAGAAGAACCTCTAATGACAAGGTTAGACACACTACTAAGTGTTTAATGTTAACCTTACACACTGGTAGGATACGATTATAAATAATGTTATGAACTGCTTTAATTCCTTTCCAAAGAAAGAATTCCATACATTTTTTAAAGGGTTAATAATGCTGTAAAACAGTAGAATGAAGTAAAGTGGACAGTAGGCCCCAACTGTCTAGTGACGTTGAGAGAATAGCAAGTGGTTGTATGATATGAAAATGGATGAAAACTATTATATTTATACAACAATTATTATGTTTTTATAGTCTTTTTCACATTTAAAATTAGTAAAATATGCCAAACAGTCAAATAACAGGTTCATCAGAAATAAACACAATCAGGAAACACTGAGAAAAATCACAATTCCAAGAAGTAAAAAAAAAAAGAAAGGCCCTTCAATTAAGGTTAATAGACACAAACTTGAACAATTTACGATTCTCAGAAACAAATCCTTCTTATACATTGGAGCGTTCAGAACAAATCAAAAGTAAAAGGTTAGATGTTTTACTATTTCATGAAAAATATAATCTCTTGAATTTATTAATCTTTTATTTAGCAATGAGTATAAGCATACAAAATATTTATTTTTTGGACCTTCGGAGAGAAATATTGTCCCATTCTTGTCTGATATAGCTAAAAAGGCTTCCTTTTCCTGTTTCCTTTTTCACTTTTTGTTTTTGTTTGTTTCATGGTGTTTCAAAACTTTACTGCTGGTGCAAAAATGTGGACTGTGGCCAGGGAATCAGAAGTTGTAATCAATACCAGTTAGAAAACTACAAATCAGTCACCTAGAAGACTTTTACAGTTAAGCTTAGAAGTAACAAGAGTAAATAAAATACTCACAAGCATCATATTTTTTTTTACAAAGGACTGTTTTAGAACATTGGCTCAGATCCGAAACAGGAGCACCCAGTCTAAAGCACTCTTTCTTACTTTGTATTTCTGATCATTTGTGTGGGCTTTGTTCTCTTTACAGGCCAAGCTCATGACTCCAGCCAATTACAAGGACACTATAGAAGAGAGATTCATTGCTAAAATGTGTGGTTATCCCATATGTTCAGATAAACTGGTCAAGGTAAGAGCTTTTTTTTTTGGTCACTCAGTTACTAATCCCTTTCACACTTCATGTTATTTTATCTTATTCTGTTTTATAGATCCCAACCCAAAAGTACAAAATATCTACCAAAACAAATCGGGTTTATGACATCACAGAGCGTAAAGTGAGTTCATCTGCAGAAGAAAGGCCTTTAACATTTTTCACCCTTCCCAAAACATGTTTCAAAGTTATTTGTTTTTGTTTTTTTTGTAGTGCTTTTGCAGCAACTTCTGCTACAAGGCCTCTAAAGAGTTTGAGCTTCAAATATCAAAGACGCCTCTCTGGGTGAGGCAGTTTGAAAGGTGGGTGTGCCATTCCTCTTCTTCTGCAGTAATGATAAATAAGGGCTAATGTGCCTTCTTGTATTGACAGCCCTCAAGAAATCAGGTTGCTGAAAAAGGGAGACAGGTATGTAACAGATTTAATGTCTGTATGGTTTTACTCATTAATCCTGTAAAACGAGTAGACTAAAAATGTGTTATTCATGAATTCATAGTGGGAGCTCTGGTGAGGAGGTGATGCTGTCAGTGAGGCATCTCAAAAAGGAGGACATCGAGAACCCGCCGGACGACCTCTGTGGTGAAAGCTCTGTGGGAGCCGGCCACGCCGAGAACACCAGCGACGAGCAGGACTTTGTCTCCAGTGTGGTCTCACAGCAGCAGAGGCCCCGTGTGCACTGGGGCGACTTGCCCAAATCCACAGATCGTGGCAAAAGTGGGGTACAAGAGAAGGCAGAGAGGAGAGACAAACAGAACACAGGAATCCTTAAAGAGGAGCCTGACAGTCAAACCACAGAGAGGGAACCACTGAGAGGAAAGAGTAAGAGGAAAGAACCATTTGTTGAGAAATCTGAGGAGTTTCACGAAGCAGATACTGACCAGGCAAAGGAAGGAGAGAAGGAGTTGAGTGTGGAAGAAGCCACAGTTAAACTAAACCTTTGTAGTTTATCAGAGCACACAACCACTCAGGCTGGACTCACAACAACAGTTATCTCTCTTCCTGTCATCGAAGCACAGAAAACAGAAAACCACCCTTCGCCCTCTCCAGGGCCGACTCCCACTAATCCGAGCAACCTCGGCCAAGCTTGGACCAGCCCACCAGGTCTGAGCATCACCCAGGTGGGCATGAGCAAGAGAGGAGCAGCAGGGCTGCGACACCTACTGGAGACGCATGGCGGCAAAGTCAAACCCGCCTCTTTTCAGCCGAGCATCTGCGAGTCTCTCAGAAGAACGTTAAAAGAATGGTGTACCGACGAGACCCGGAGGTTTCTGTACGGCTCGGGCCACTCGCCGAGCCCCCCTTCTTCTGCTGACCCAAAAGAAGCGGAGGAGGAATTGGATGAAGATGACTTCGAGAATGATGAGAACGTTCTTGACGGTCAGGGGCTGAAGAGGCCACTGACAGCAGCACCTGCATATGAGACTCTGCAGAAAGAGACCCAACAGCTGGAGCTCAGAGTCAGGGAGTTTTACAAAGGGACCTGGATTTTGCCCAGGGAGGTGAGTGGAGGATGAAGACCCTTTTCATGCAGTAAGATCCAGCATTGGGTCCACTTTGGACTCTACCTATGCTAGTGTGCTGAGGTTTCCTCCTTAACAGCCTTTTGTGTTCCTAGGATGAGCCGACCGTCCAGGAAGAAAAACCAAAGGATCCAGTTCTGCCGCTCATCGACTCTCAAGCTCAGCACCTCATCCAGAAACGGATTGCAGTGGAGAGGCTCAGCGGCTGGTGCGTTGTCGTTTGAGTTGTATGTAAATAGCATGGACTAAAACCAAAGCTTGTTGGTCCGATCTCCAACTTTCCCAAAAAATATATTCATAAATATTCTTTGGACAAGATAGTGAACACCCATATGCGTACTGTTATATAATTTCTTAGCTGCAGTTTGATGGATTATGTCCTATTTCCTGCTAGCCTTGAAGCTTCTGCGGTTCACACGCAAACTGGTAGATCAGTCGATTTGGTGCTCGTATAATACATTTCAGATTGCACAAACATGACAGATAAACAAGAGATTTATGGATCTATTTTGTTACCAAAGGGGGTCTTTTTAGCACAAACTTTTCTTATCAAATCAGAATAGAATTTTCTGCTCTTTCCGCAAGTACTCCTGTTGGGTTTCTTTTTTGACACAAAAACTAAACACTTTACTGGATTCATGATTCCCATCTTCAGCTGACATCTGTCCCTGTCGTCAACAGTCTCAGAAGCATTTTGGGTTCGCTGCCTCTCACCATGAGCGACGTGTCTACAGACCTGAACAATCTGGTCAAGACCTTCAGGTCAGTCCGGCGCACACAGACATCCGCGCACTCCTCTTGGGGTAGCTGTGTAATCTCGTACACATAATTTTGCTACTCTTTGAGTGTTGATTTTGAACACTGACAATTGATCTAACATGTGTTGGAAGGAAAGAAGCCCACAGTTCACGTCGGTGTCTTTTAAGATATATTAGTGGAGCTAATACAGGATCTGTGAACCAATCACGGCAAAATTATGCACATTTCAAACGAAAATATTTGATAAAACTTGTCTGATTTATTTCATAAAATTAAACATTATGCAATTAACTGACAAGTTGGAGCTGAATTCTGCAACGATACTATAAGATTTTATGAACTTTGTCGCCCCCTACAGGTAGGTGTGACGTATGACAGGAGAAGAAGTTGTGTTCATGTCTACTCTGTAATGAAACAATCTTATATGTCTTAATGTAACAGATATTTTGCATGCACACATAGTTTAACTACTTCCTGTTCCTTTAGACTTGCATCAGGGACATTTAAGGTTTCTTTAACTATTCGGTAGTGGGAGCATTTCCGACTCTGCCTACCCTCTCTGCCAGGCCAAACACTGATGAAATTGCACAAGTTTTCCATGTGAGATGTTAATGTCGTTTGCAGTTAAGGTCAAGATGTAAGGGTGAGTCACAAGAAGAAAAAGGAAGATCATCAAAAATTTGACTGAACATATTATCTTGTTTTAGTCAGGTGTATTGACCTGATTTTTTTTCTGCTTAAGAAAAGGATTATTGGAGTACAGAAATTAGTAATCTAGTTTCTAAGTAGATGGACTCAAAATAAAGTCAGGAACAAGGAATGTATCACTTTTTGCCAAATATCAACCACAAAATATGTAAATGTTTTCTTGCTATACATCCAAAGTGAAAACTCTTTGACACATTTCTATCATCTTTTTTTATTTTTATGGAGGCCTTTTTATGGGTGACATAAAGATCCCATATACAACATCTTATAGCCTTGTGTTTATCATTTGATGGACAGGATACTTTCAAACAGCATGCAACAAGGGGCTGAAACAGAGAATGAATCAAATTTTGTATTTATTGATTTTTTTTTTTTTTTTTCAACCTGCTTTTATAACTGGGACCCACTGAGGTGTGTCTGTCGAAAAGGCCCACGAGAATTATGACACCATACAAAGTAAATCTTGAAAACATAAGCCAGAATTGAACATTTCCTGCCTTAGACACTCTATTTTCTCATTGGCTGGTGAGCCTGTTTTGAACAGGGCTGCATTTAAATCACTTGGTCTGTGATTTAAAAGCACATCAGCAGCAGAGTAGCACCTCTAAAATCCTGCTTCCTGGAATTCTCTCAGGGCCCTCGAGAGGCCCCCGTTGACAAGAGGCTCGAACTGGATAAAATACACAGTGCTGTCAGAAAGATATACATCACAGTTCAGGCCGGGGTTTTGGTGGTTGGTTAAGCACAGAGTACATTTTTTTATTTTACTTTCAGACTTTTTTTTTTTGAGTTGTGCAATGGTGGCATCTGTTTTTAGAAGGCAGCACATAAGAGGTGTTATGACATATATATTCTAACCTCTGACTTTAGTGGTCTCTGGGTCACGTTGTTGTTTTTATTCACCAGGCTCACCAGCAAAAACATCATCCATAAAACTCCGGAGTGGACCCTGATAGCCGTGGTACTTCTGCATCTGTAAGTTAAGCCTTCACACGTGTTGAAGTTGAAGTTCAGTATTTGCAGGTTGCACCATGACAGCTGGACACCCGAGGAAGGTGAAGGCCCTTTACAATCAATGACTTGGAATCTGTCTACTTTATGCTGCATTTGACAAGATGCTATAAGGTTGGCATTGTTTTGCCTTTGCCATATGGCGTGTGTATGTGTGTGTGTGTGTGCGTGCGTTTGTGGGTGTCACTGGCAGTTCATGGACAGTTCCGTGCTGCTCCCGTCTGAGTACACAGCGCCTTATCTCAGGTTGATTGCCCCACTGGAGATCCGTGATGGAGGACAGACGGCACGCACAAACACCCATGTGCACTTACATGTTAAATACACACACACACACACACACACACACACGCTGAATAGTTTATCTTCATAAGCTGTTGGGCTCTTAAAACTGCCCCGGGTGGGAAAACTTTCACCTGATCCTGAGCTGAATCTGATTTATGACTTCTTTGGTGGTCCCAGATCAGTTTTGTTTGCTCCGTTTGCCACTATGTGGAAACTTCCATCTTTAGCTTTATTAAAAGGTTACTTTGTACAGCTTGAGGTGCAGTGCGTAAAGTAAACCCGGCAGCACTGAAACAAGGGGCCCCATAGGTTACGAATATTTGATGCTGGGGATTTTTTTTCAAGTGTGTGGTTTGTTTGGATGATAAACGGATGATAACACTAAGTTTGATCTATCGACGGACACTTGGAGAAGTTAATAGTCTGGATCATCCATGAGGCTCCAAGGTGTTTTGTTTTTAAAATCACTGCATCCAAGCTTATCAAAATTCAAAATCAGTGACAAAACTGTCCCTCTGTTTCCAAGCTGTGTTTTGTGATCTGGTGCGCGATGCCCCTACACCGGCACACCTTTTGACAACCACTCCTTCACGCGTCCGCTTTATATCATTAGCTCCTTACCAAACATGCTCTCCCTTTGTCACGTGTCCTGCTAGCACTCTATGATTTCATCAGTTCCCATTTAACTGGCCCTCCACTCCATCCTTCCATTCCTCCATCATGAATAATTTGGTGTGCTGTCTTATCTCTCTGCTGCGTGGCAGCTGTGGAGCTAGTCTGGCCTCTTTTGTTCAGGCCAGCTGAATAATGGATGCTGCCCCCACTCTTCTGCTGCAACACTAGACGCAGGTAGACAGGACAGGTAAGGTGGGGGGTGGATGGGGAGCAGAGACTTGAGAGCAGCATGAAGGTTACAAAATGGAATAAGTGGAGAAGTAAGAAGCTCCTAATTTCAAATGATGATTAGCAGTGTGCGACTGAGGAACGTTTCAGGAGGCTGCTAACTCTACAATAAATGTTTTAAAAAAGAGTCAGCCACATGTGAATTTCCCAGCTGTGTAATCAATAAAGTACTCTAATCTAATCTCATAACCTGAACCAAACAGCAGAAGTTGTAATGTAATCATGTAAATCATGAAATCCTTTTTTTATGGTAATCCTTTGTGACTGTCAGAGTTGTTATGAGTTTCTTTCAAATTGGCCTTTTGGCCATCTACAGCACAGGAAGTGTAAGAAACACAGTTTAAAATCAGGCCAAGACTGAACATTAAAACCTTAGTGATGGGTGGATTCACATCAGAGCTGCTGTATTAGATGGCATGCGTTTTAGCTGAATGTGTTGTTATTCCCATTTTACTCTGTAGCATGGAAAAAGCCACTCAGATGGTACAAAAGAAACAAGAGATAAAGTCAAACAATAACGTCAGAAGTGCTCCTGGAAAAAGGAGAAATTGGTATGCACAGAAAGAGGGGGGGGGGAAGCTTGGTGTGTTTTTTTTATCTCCCAAATAACTAATGTGGACACACCGGTAGAGTACTTCCTGCCCAAGGTTCTCTAAGTACTTTAAAACCTTTTCCAGAAAGAGTTGACCAGGGGGTATTTCTGCATCTTTTTTTAAAATTTATTTTTTTACACCTCCAACATATTTTTTTTTTATAATACCTGTTTGGTGTCCAATAATCCTGGTACAAAATGTTATGTTGAGCAAATTTCCTTCTGGCTTCCCTGATGTGTTTACCATCGATGTGTCTCTGTCGATTTCACAATCAAAATCTCTCAAACCGTCAAAAATGTCACTACTTTGATAGAGATCTGATAGTTGATAATTAGGTTACATCTACTTGACGAGAAACCTGTTGAACCACAGCTTCTGATTTTCAGATATTCCCAAAAATATTTATTTTGCAGGTTGCATTTATGAACACTTCACTGAACGGCATAAATGCGTCCTATTTGCAGAGATGGCCTCTTACATATGCCTCTTGGTCCCGGCAGCATTCCTAACACCTTCTTCTTTCCCATTTTAGCTCTTAAAAAATAAAATAAAAACATTACATGCAGTTTGCAATTTCTCACCTCAGACTTTCCATATTTCTATCTTGCTGTGATTGTGGATCACAAAAACCTTAAACATACCACATTTCTATTCATTGCCAATTCCGTTTAGCAAATTGGACCCTTAGATGCACTCATGTTTCACCTAGCAGTTTCCCTGTTGTCTTCTGAAGAAATGAGCTTTCAGTTTTCATGGGACCAGCAGCCTGATGGCAGTGTTTTATTTGTGTGTGCTTGTGTTTTGTATTTCAGGTTGTCTGAAGTGTCACCACTGGTGCGGGAAGCCTTGGAGACCTCGGCATCCGTAGAGTATCTGAACACGCTGATGCAGGAGCTCGGCCTCCAAGAACAGGACCTCCTACAATTAGTCCAGGAGTTTAAATCCCCAACGCACTGACACCCACAGAGATACTGGAAAATCATCAGAGATGCCCTTTGGAATATTTTCTGTGTGTCCGTTTTTCATCAAATGTAATCCTCATTGTAAAATTCAAACTAATTTTGTTTTTTAACTGTACAATAAACCATCATAAATCAATGGAGGATGTGGAGTGGACATTGATGATGTTCCAGAGAAGCACTGTGTACACAGTCAGTGATGAGATGTGTGCAAATCAGATCCTTCAAGTTTCAAAACTGTGCATGTTTAATCTCCTGTTTGCACACCCAAATAAATCACACCCAGCTTTTCCCCAGTGAAAACACCATGTGGGCACGCCACTTACTGCTGAGCTGTCATAAAAGTTGTGCCATTTCTCCAGACTTCCTTTACACTGAGTTTTATGGCACCATAATTCCATTTGTTATATGAGTATGTGAACAATTCGTTTGGCTGAGAATATTTGGTTTGGGCCAGATGGCGCACGCAGCAAAACGTTCCTTTGTTTAGTATCGGAGATCTAACTTTGACCTGTCATGCAGATTGGAGACGTGATTGATGGTCTGCATGACTTAACACAGCTTCTTGTTTATATTTTTTTTTTCCTGTCAGTGCAGTCAAATCAGTGGACCAACACAAACAAAGAGTTGACCCATAATAAACGGAAAGGTTTCGTGTCTTGGGAACAAACAAAAAAGAAAAAAACGGAAAATTGTTTTCTTTAAATTAATATTTAATACAACACTAGATGGCAAATCGACTACATTTCAAAAGCTAATAAAATTGTCAGCTTTGGAAATAAATTATTCGGTTCCCCCATAATAATAACGCGTAAAAACAGATGATAAATAAATGGGAATAAAATAACATTTCAGTGGAGTTAATTGATAAAAGACAGGGCAATACATCACACGAAAACAAGATATATATACATTCAAAGTACAAAGTGCCGGATTTCGTATTAAAGGGTTGGGATCAGCTTATTTGAGTCCGTGCTGCGTCTCCTTGTGTCTCCTCAGATCCACTTTCCTCTGAAAACCTTTCCCGCACAGGTCGCATCCGAACGGTTTGAAACCGGTGTGTTTCCTGCTGTGCGTGATGAGGTTGGAGCTCTGACTGAAGGCCTTCCCGCACACCTGACACTTGTGCGGTTTCTCTCCTGTAGCGGGCACAAAATCACGACGTCAGGTCAAACGTGGCCGCGTAACGCGCCTTCCACCCCTCTTTTTTATGTTCTAGCACTGCCTCACCTGTGTGGATGAAAGTGTGCTTTTTCATGTCAGACTTCTGGTGGAATCTCTTTCCGCAGTACTGGCACGGATAGGGCCGCGTGTCTGAATGGATCAGCAGGTGCGTGGAGAGCGTGGAGGAGCGTTTGAAGCTTTTCCCACAGATTTTACAGGAAAAGCTTCTCTCCTGTGGAAAAAAAAAAAAAGATTAATATTGTCAGTGTCGAATGCCACGGGTTCACCCTGCAAAACTGGCACCACTTTTGGTGGCACGAATGCACCCAAGAAGGCCCTTTGCGTCTTTGGGCCCCACTGTTTTCAGTTGTGAGACCCGAACCCACCTGTGAGTGGACCGCCCTGTGCTGATCCAGGCTCACTGCGTGTCCGAAGGTTTTCCCGCAGATCCCGCATTCGAAGGGCCGCGTCCCGCTGTGGGAGCGCCGCACGTGGACCTCCAGCCCGTGAGATGTGGAGAACACCTTTGTAAAAACACAATTACACCTCTTATAAGATGATTTGCAAGCAGAAAGGGCTGTGATGCGTCAAAATGGTTTCCCACAAATGACATAGTTTTACTTTTAATTTAACAATCAAAAGAAAATACACAGACTTGTGTCAAACCCTTAAGCTGACATGAAGTATGAGTTATTAAAGAAAGAATTTCAAAGGTCCAATACATTTAAAATGCGAGTAAAACAAACCAATACCTTGCAGCATTTAATGCACTTAAAAGATCCATTTGCTTCCAGGCTAGATGGCAAGAAATCCTCCTCAGATTTAATTTCAATCCTGCGGGGCAGCTGTTCTCCTTCCACATACAGCTCGTCTCCGTCCCGAATCCTGGATATTCGGTGGGCCGTTGGAGAATAGTCCTGGTAGCGTCCGGCACCGAGGCCCCGCTGCGCGTAACCCTGCTCCCCGCCGCTGTCCTCCACCCCGAACACGGTGACGGGGGACTGAGATCTCCTGTGGCCTCGCAGGGGTTGCTGATAAGGCCCCTGGACCAGATTCCTCAACTCGGAGCCAGAGTATGCCGACCAGGAGTAGGGAAAGAGAGAGATGTTGAAGCGTCCATCCTCCGCGGCCGGAGTCGAACATTTATCTGAATCTGGGATAACAATTGAGATCTGCAGTCAGAATTGCGTCTTTTATTAATTGCATCAAATAATAGTCAAATTCTATTAAAAACAATTGATCTACAGGGAAAAAACACGAACAAAAAGCTCAATAATTGGATAATAATTGCAATATAAAAATGTCGGCCTGCTTATGATTTCTTAATCAAGATTCACAAATATTGTCTATGCTGCCCGTACAGAATATCCGTGCAATTTCTGGTAATGCGCTGCTCTATTTTACTCTGTTTAAAAAAAAAAGAAAAAAAGGAAGACAAAATCATTTCCTCTTATCGTGGTATCGTCTAAGGATATAAGTGTTTTAAAGTTCTGATTAAGAATATGCTTTTTTTTAAAGACGTTTTCATCAAATAGAGCCACCGCACTAAACTTTACAGAACTTTTGCAAGCATTAGGATATATTTAGCGGACCTGGTGAAGAAGAGGGAGACGGCGGGCGCCAGAAATCACAGTCAGACGACCGTTCACACACGCTTCCTCCGCAACTCAGCGGGGAGCAGGAGGACAGCGACCCCGGAGACCGCCGCCTGGACCCCGCTGTCACGTCTCCCTGTGGCTCAACGTTGGAGTCGAACTCCTCGTGAGATTTGCTCTCTGTTTACGGCAGATTGAGAGTGCAACTTTATTGTTAAACCGATCACTTCCAAGAGAAAAAAATATTCGCCCCTATACGGGCGCATAATTAAACCATTTTCGTGCGCAATTACGCACAAAGCGAACCCACCTGCGCATACGTGAGCAAGAATAGTGTCCAGTCTGTTATAGTCATCGTCAAGGTAGCGTGGCTGGTGGTAGCTGTGCGCCCTTTTGCTCTTCACCAGGAAGGACCTCGGCATGTTGTATGTGTTTCACTCAGACTGCGGCTCGTCGCTTCTCAGGTGCGCAATCGTCCCCTCAACTCCTCTGCCCTCCGCGCAGCGCTGACTTTATCTCTGGTCAGATTGGAACACCATTGGTCGTCGGGCGAGATAGCGTTTGGATTTTTTGGCGGTCCATTACGCATGCGCATTAGGCCCGGATCGTTTACCAGGTGTCGTTGGCAGACGGCCAAAAAACAAAGCCACGTTCGGCCCTTTTATAGGCTTTTGGTAAATGGGATTGATATAGTGTCCTACATCCACAGGATCTGTGAAATCAACGTCTCAGAGTTTATATGTTACGTTGCATTTACGCGTCATGTATGCCTTACGGAGTTAAATCGGGTAAGAATGACGAGCACACAACAGGTTGCTCAATATGATTCTGTTATTAATAGAAAAATACTCCATATTGTCACATTTAAAACTTTAAAGGGAAAACAAACATCGTGTCGCATAATGTTACGCAATTCATTTCCAAGAAATGAGCACCAAGACATCATTAAACATTGAAAGGCCATTAAAAAAAACGTTGTCAAAACCGAGATTTGCTCGCCGCCCACATCAGAAATGTTCAAGTCCAACCTTAAAGTGATCATACAGATTAAAACGCCTTTTAGGATACTTGTTTATACAGTGAAGTTGGAGACAAAATGTGCGCGCTCGCGGCTGTCGGTCGCAGGTAGAAGAAGCTGCGATGGATAATAATGACCCATTTGTTTGGCTCCCTGAAAAGTGATCCTGTTAATGAGACGCGGGCGGCCGCAATGCACAACAGCCTGCCGGTGAAGAGCCGGAGTATCTTTTACAGTTACACTGCTTCAGCTTACCCGCACTGACTTTAGCCTTATTGTTTTACATCATTAAAATCCGCCCCCCCCCCATCCCCCTCCCCATCCCTATCCCCATCCCCATCCCCGGCCCAATTAAGCTGCCCATTGAACAATATAAGCAAACATCACGGTGGAGTGGTAAAAGCAGAAGAAGAAGAAAAAATCACATGAAGGCAAAAAGTTTTCTGCAGAAAGAAAAAAATCTCTCAAGCTCTAAACGTAAAAAATCATTGCGAAGATTTGGACTCTTGTGAGAGGTCAGTGGAGAAAAAAAAGCAAAGTCGCATCGATTTCTGCCCAATGTGGGAGCAGAGTTTGTTTGATGCAGCTGCTGCAGAAACAAAACGCAGATAGCAGGTCGACATGAAGCTGAAACACATGTTCCATACTCACACAGCAGGTACTTTGTCCCAGCTCTGAACATACACACACAGACACACACACACACACAGTATCCACACTTAGTCTGAAAGCTGATTAGCGTGAATACAGCTGCCACAAACTCTGCATATTTTACTGTAACTCACACACACACACACACACACACACACTCTCTCTCTTTCTCTCACTTCCACTTCCACAAAAACACGCTCCTTCTCCCCGTTTCGCCCCCCTCCCTCAGATATGAATTTTCATGTGAGTCAGTCACGACAGCCACACAAAAACACTGATTCATGTTTTGATAAGAGTCCGACATGCTTCCACTGTTATGCATTTGCATCGCACAAAAATAAATCACGATGCATTCAATTGATTTCCTTCTCTTACCATGGGCTTAAAATTCTGACGTGGACTTGAAAACCACTTTGTCCTGTTTTTTGGAGGACTTCCTTTTAGAGCTTTGCCTACTTACTGTTAATAATTAGGGGATTCGTTTGCTTCTATAAAAAGCCAGTTTGCAAGTCAGTAAGTGTATTTTCTTCTTATGATGACTCATGTAATGGAAAAACTATTTTAAAGAAAAAGGAGAAAAAAAACCATCATGTTGGAAATTTCAACCTCTTAACTGTAACAAGGAGGGAGCGGTGAAGTTTTCCACACAGTGCATTTTCTCTGTGACACACACACACACACACACACACACACACACACACACACACACACA